GCGACCTGCGGGGCGGAGGGGCCGGGCAGGAGCCTCGCCGGCCGCAGGCAGTGACCGGCCACAGGGCACGGACCGGCCGCACAGATTGACCGGTCGCAGGCACTGACCGGCCGCAGGGCACGGACCGACCACGCCGTGTTCCGGGGAGCACGGGCAGATCGTTAGAGTGAGGGCGGAGGGACCGGAAAAGCATGGAAGCCTTTCGGGCAGTCGTGGAAGCAGGGAAATGTTTACATCGGTTTTCACGGGCCTGAGGGAGGGCCCGTTTAAGTTAAAACAAAAATCGTGTTTAAAATGTAAGTGAGCTTAAGGTGATAGCGTTTCGTTTCTGTAAGTATCTACATCGCCCACAAATATATAAATTATACAAGCTTTATCCATTGAAGACAAATCCGTTGGACGCGCCTTTTCTTTTAAATTTTGCTTAGATTTATCGTTTTGCCTGTTTGTTCAGTCAGAGTCACACAAAAGCTCAGCAGAGGTTCAGCTTGTATATTCAAAAGTCTTTTTTTCCCTCAAAAATTTCTAACTTTCATTGCTTATACAGTTTTAATCTCATTTAACTGATGCAGTTGTAGAAGAGTATGGGCAAGCTAAGGTGTCTATAAGGTGCCACTTGAGTGGCAGGCACGCTGTTCCCATTTTAAGGAGCTCTTTATGTATGCTGCTACTTTCATGACCATCCTTTAGTCCCTTCTGATGGAGGATTCACTCCAGTAATTGAGGAACTCTGCTGTCCTATATTGAAGTTCTCATTTTTCAGTGTAGACTGTGCTTATTTCTTGTATATGCACAACCTTGAGCTGTATTCATCCTGCTCAGAATTTAAGAGAAGACTGGATTACCGTGGCGCTTTTAATAAAAAAAATTTTCTTGTTTGAACTAAATACTTTGAATAGCAGATTCTGCGATTTAAACCATGAGTGTGAGGTGGTTTTTAGAAGTAGTGACTTTAAATAAGAAATTCAGTATAAATAGTTCCCAGTGCTTCAGCTGCTGTTTGCACAGCACCCTGGTGACATGGTGGAGGCTGTGGGGGTAGTGATCCTCTCAGCCTTTCTCCTTCTGCCTGCTATGGGAGGTTCTCTGGTAAATGCCAGCTAAGCACAGTCCATGTTTATGGGATGGTTGTTTTGTTCCTGCTGTGGGGTAAACCTGTTTGCTAGCTCTCTTACATGGCCTGGGCTGTAACTCTGAATGATCTCTCCATGTGGGTGTCTCATCTTAAAGCTTCGTCACACATATGTATAACTGAGCCATAAATTGCCATTGTTAAATTCACAGGAGAAGCCAGCTAATACAGTTTTGCTATCCGGTGCCAACTGTTAGATCACAGGCTACAAAGGAGTTTCTAAATCTACCATATCCTTGTCTTCACTCCTTCATGCTTTTTAGACTTTGAAAACAGGTGAGAGAACCTGAAGACAGTGAAAGCAGAAGCTCACAGGGCTGAGCCAGTGAGGATTGATGAAGGTCCAGTCCTGTTAAGATTACCATCTGAAAATCTGAAAAATGTGGAGTGTAGCCCAGAATGAGACTGGGGAAAAACAAATTGTATAGACTTAGGTGTTGCTTCACACTATGACCAGCAACAGAAAACCTGGATTATTAAATTCTGATCCACTTGTTTCCTTTTGCTGCTCTTCTGATGAAGTGCTTCAGCTGTTTGTAGGAGAATTACAAATAGGACAACAGGTCATACTAAGCTTCATCACAGCTGTATTAGTAGAAGTTAAGAGAGGAGAGATGATTGTAGTTGAGGAAGGCAGAAAGCAGGACCCTACAAGGGAAAAAAGAGAACAGAACAATTGAATGGTGACACACAAATGGCAGAAGGTCCAGATAGACAAAAAGGATTTTTAGAGGGGAATATTGGGTGCAGTATGTTGAGAAAATTTCTGTTCACTACCAAATACGCTACAAAGCAATCCTAGTATCTGTTCAGGGATAAACAGACAAACATGTTTAAAGGGACAGAGGCTGCAAAGTTGAATTCTTCAAAGGTTGGAGCATTAAACTTAGCAAAGTTCAATGAAAATGAAAATTACTTAGATAATGTTCGTACGTATGAATTATGATATAAATTATAAATACTTTCTGTTTTTATCAAACCAGACATTTTTCACTGTCTGACTTGAGATATAGGGAATGTTTTGTTAGAGTGGCAAAGTTATAATGTTCAGTTCAGTTGTGCATAAGAATGATCTGCTTTACCTGTTGCTCAACAAACTACCATTCCTCTTGGATGTTTTTTGCAGTGCTTACTACAAATCACTAAGTTTTGTGTAAAAGTTAATTTCTCAACCTTTAGATCTCTTCCCCAGTCCTGCTTACTACCAAGGCAGGAAAGAAGACAAATAGCTGACAGACAGGACAAGGAAGGACAGAATGTATAGCACTGCTTTAAACTCTGCTAAAGACAAAGTACCATGAATTTGTATCTCCAACTCCAGCTACACTGCAGCTAAAAAGAACTCTTTTCCCCTTGCAGGAAAATCCAGTTTGACAACAAATGAGTAGGGTGTCTGTACAACAGCCTTCTTCATTTCTAAATAGCCATACTTTTATTCCCAGAGAATCATAGTCTGTCTTCATGCAAGAGTGGTCTCGTGGAAGCTATAACCATGTCATATCATAAAATGTACAAGCAGAATGCAGTTTGTCAAACAACTTTGGTTTTTGTTGTGGATTATTTGTTTTTGGCATCCCAGTCCTGATTGTAAGCTCTATAGATAATATAGACAATATTCTGTGTCCCATCACAGGTTTTTAAAAGAAACCTCCTGAGTGAGATGAACATAGATCAGTGTCTTGGGTTACAAAGACAATTAGCTACTCAGAGAAAAATAGAGATAGAGAAAAATCTCTAACTAATACACTATGAAGGTAACAATTGGGAAGAGATTGTTGTAATGGAAACAGGCAATAAGTTCACATAGCATAACTCACTGTGTATTAAAAATGTTTATTGTGCATGCAGTCCTGTCAAAAGGCATAGATGGTAGATAAAAGAGAAATTAGTCTGATTAATTCTTCTTTATTTTGCTTTTCTGCTTTCAGTTATCCTTTAAACTGTACTGGATCCAGCTCCTGCCTTTATGTGCCTAATAGCTGCATCTATTTGTAGAGTAGCCAGTTTGCTGGTCATAAGCTTGCTAGTCACAAACTTAATTGTTATCAACAATAAGTAGTTAAAAAATAAGCTGTCTTTGCAGACCCAGCTTTGAAGTGACCCTAAAGAGTCAGTGAGCAACAGCTCCACAAGCCTCAAATCATGCTGTCAAGCCAAACTTAGTGTGTGATGTGTTTTGGAATGATTATTTTTCTTCATGGAATACTATAAAATCTGTGTTCTTTCTTTACAGCAGAAGTGCAAGAAAAATCAAACTGGTTGTCAGCATTTATCAAGTTCACTCATAAAACACAACTGTTAACAGGTTTTAAGGAAGGGATGTGCATTTCATGTCTGTTTAATCTGTCTCACAAAATGTGGTCTGTGGAAGAAGAGATGTCCATACTGTGATCTTATGGAAGATTCTGGCTAAAACCATTGACTATTTGGGGTTTGAATTTATTTCAATTTTCAGTTCAGGCATTCGGAATTAAAATTTTCATCTGCATTTTTATGTCTATATTTGACGTATTATTTAAATTCTTAAGAGAGATGCAAATGCAAAATAAGTGAGGGAGATCATGTTTGACACCTAGGTTTATCTGTTCATAAAATGAATACAAGATGTTCATTTGAGAAAGAATGGAATAGACTTAAAGAAAGTAATAGCATATTTTAATGGGAATGGCAGAAGACTGGGTGGATGTCTGTGTAGCAGTATGTGAAATCTCTGGGGCCTGTGTTTTTGTTCCATAAATATTTAGCTATTGCAGGAAGCTGATGTGCCTTTGGTAGGAAGGCATCATTAACTGGAAAGGCATCAGTAGGGAGAAAGCAGAAAGCCTAGAGCTTTCTACAAAAATAAGAGGCAGTAGAAGTGTGCAAAAGGGCATCTGTAAAAAGAGTTTGGAGAGGAACAGTGTGTCACATGAAAGGAAGTAAAAATACCAGCATGAACTAAGATACCTATTTGTATATAGTGCTTAGTAAAGGTGGGTTGGGAAGGCAATTTTGGCAGTGCATAGGAGAGACAGAAAAAAGAAGCAGAAATCCATTTGCTAAGCATCACCAGAGTAGTTGAGAAGGATAAGAGCATGTTTCACTGGGGCCAAAGAACCAGAAGCAGTATTGTGGAGAAGAAGGACTTCAGGGTAAAGAGTCAAAACTGATGTTTTATAGAAGGCTGGAGTGGCAAAAGAGAGAAAGCAGTAAGTTGAAGGTGGTAAGAGGATCCCTTGGAAAGGGTCTGAAAAAGGTAGAGGAATAAAGCTTTAAGGAGTGTAACAACAAAAATTAAGAGTAGGAGAACGTATGCTATCAGCAAGTACAAATAAGTCTCTTAAGATTGCTTTTATTATTATCACTTGCATATTCTGTCCTCTCAAAGAGCTAAAGTGACCAAGATACAATCATGCCTTTAAACTCAAAATAATGCCTTTAAACTTAGTAACCGTTCAAATTTCTTGTCATGGATATTCAAACTAGGAGGAATCTGTCAGCACTACAAGATGAAATGGCTTCTATGGCACTATCCCCTCCCTTGCCCAGACATGCAAGCATATGGATAACTAGCCCTGAACTCAACACTGATCTGGGTTTGAAGCAAAAGAAAGAATGGCTAATTTTAATGTGTCAGTCTTCCTTGTCCTGTTCAGTATGGGATCACATAAATGCCATTGAGCTGTCAAAGCCGGACTTGAACTTGGAGTACAGTTTCCATAAACTGTTATGAAAACTGTTATGTTTGGTGTGATCCCCTCCCCTTGAGAGTAGAGAGCCATTACCTGTGTCTGTCTTCTAAAAAGCACTTCCTTGGCAGGTTGAACCAGTCTTAATGCTTCTGCAGTTCCTGCCACATTGTCCATCAGTGTTTTTCCATGCTTCCTTCCGCAGTTCTTTCAACCCAGGAGAGTAGGTGTGGTTGAAAACCAATAACTTTAATTTTTCATCCTCTCCTTCAGATTATTTTTTTTGTTCTGCTTTGTTTTTTGCCAGAGGTATTAGCAGGATAGGTTAATGGAAGAGGATTGACAATATGCTCCATGAAGGGATAGAATTATGTCAGTGTTTAACTTGGGTTGGTTTGATTTCTGAGATTGGGCCTTTATGGTGTATTTCTGTGAGGATGCAGAAGGATGATGCACACCTCATTCTTTCTATCTTATCTTCTTCTGTTGCCATTCCAGGTTTCAAGCATTCAGCACTACCCTTCCTTGTCTTGTGCCAGCTCTGTTTGTCATCTGTCTTTCTATCAGCCTAACATTTGAAAGCATTCTGAAATTACGAAAGAACAGATACTTCTACCATTGTTGTTTGAAAGTGTCCTGCTTCTGACATTTTTGTTTGAAGGAGTCCTGCTGGAGGAATTCTTCAGGAGATAGCAGGGATGAGAGCTGTTAAGCCATTATGTTTGTTTATCTTCACACAAGACCACAGGAAGTCCCATGTGAGGCCTGTAATTCAATCTGAGTAGGAATCCATTAGTTTAAAAGCGTTCTGCTCCCCACTCTTTGGCCAAGAGTGGCCTAAATGCATATAATAGTTATAATTAATGCATTATTAAACCATTTATTATATTTTATTCAAAAGACCTGGACATGGTAGACTGCAATAATCTGATCCTTATGGGAAATAAACTGGAACTGGAATAAACTACGTATGTGTCTGCTGCAAACTTTGAAGTAATTTAGTGAAACAGTAGCCTCCTAACTGATAGATTATTCTCAGCAGTACCATTACACATTAGAAATACAGCTTCTTTAGAATGTATATTTAATTCATACTGCCCTGTTGTGGTGCTAAAAAAGATTATAGGCTGGATAGTGTGTTTCAAAAAAATACTGTCCGTCCCATACATGCCTCATGATGTTTGCATTATGGAATGAGAATTCTTAAGTGACATTTTGAAGTTACTTACTGGAACTTCTGTGGAACTCTGCCAGTGTTAAACTCATTGCAGGGACATAGTTTTGCTTAAATGCAGTGGACTAATCTCTTTTTTTCCTTTTTTTTCCAGGCTAGAGTAACTGACAGAATCAAAAAGGAGACATTCACCAAATATGGAAGAGGATACCAAGCCTATCTTGGTTCCTGTGGGAGGTGATGAGAGCAATTATGGAATCATGAATATACAGTTTAATCCAGAAGACTATAAGTGCAAAAGGTATGAGGAAAGATGAAACTACAGAATTACTGTGAGGAAAAGAGTTGTTTAATCTTTCATTTTGACAGCAGACTCCTACTAAGCCAGAAGATTAGAATTTGGAAGCCAGGATCTCTGTACAAGCAGTTCCTACTTCGTCACTATATGACAGTATATATATATAGTATATAGGACTATACGACAGTATTTTATTTCTAAGCATTGGATGAACAGATGTTCTTACTATGTTCTGTTTATAAGGATAAAATTTTTCTATTGCCGTCATTTCAGAGGGTTCTCCATTAAGAGCTCAACATGAGGCTTTTAAAGTGCTCTTCAAACATGGAACATGTGTGTATAGTGGAGCATGATTTTTTTTCACTTAGAGCAACTGACTGAAATGTTGAGACTATGCAAGAAAGTTTGCCTGATGTTGTAGGGAAATGGCTATCAGTATGTGTAGATGATTCTGTATGCATTCTGCAGGTGATGCTGGAATAATACATTATTTGGTAGTAATAAGTGAGCTGAGTGACTTTTACTGCCTGTGAGAAAAACGGTGTAGTGCTTTCTGAGATTGAGCAAATGTGACAAATTCATCAGTCCAGCTTTATTACTGTGCCTTCAAAAATAATACCTCTATGTAAGTTATTATTTTACATGTTTTCTTAGAAGTTTAACATCTCCACAAAGAGGTTTGGAATGGGAGACTTCCTCTGCTGCAGTTAAGATTTTTGTGAGCTGGTCGTGGAACCAAAACTGAGATCAGAATGGGACCTGCCCTTCTAATACTAGCTGAAGGTATCAGCTTTGCATGTTCAGATGAAGGAATAGCACCGTAGCACCTCTCTTGGACCGATTTATGGTTAATTTTCTCCTCTTTACATCCATATTTCAGTAAAGCAGTTTTCCTGTAGGAACTGAAGGTGGCACTGTTGCATACAAAATACTGTTGTCAGAGGCTGCTTCAGCAAAAAAAAAAGTTCTTGAGTTTAGTGCTTTGATGCTATCGGCCTCCAGCTTTGGAAAGCTATGAGAGCCTACCTACGTACATCCTCTACAAGTAAAGAGAGGAGGATAAGGGTCTGAGTGAATCCAGGGCAACAAAAGGAGCACAGGTGTAGAAGCATACAGAATTGGGTTTATAAAGGCAAGGAAATGGTAGAGCACTTTCAGGTGGAAAAGGCAACTGTGAATGAATGTAGATGAAATCTTTCTCTTTTTGTGGAGTATTCCCTCCTGTCAGAATAAGACTGCTAATTTGCATGTATGACTTTCTTTTGGAGGAAGTATGTGTTCCATTTGACGAGCAGTGGGTTACAGGTTTTGTGGTAATGCAGTAGCAATAAGAGAGGTTTTTTGAAATGCCTAAATGCTAAGACTCACTTTTCTAAGTGAGGTTAGTATTGTTTCCATATTGTGTAGTTGGGTTTTTTCCCTGTGATTTCTCTGGTCTGGAGACTCAACTTCATGAAAGGCTGTGGCATTTGGTTCCCTCCCTAAAAGCAGAAGTGTGTACTTGAATTGTGTGCCCACATTCACGGCCTCCAGTCCTGCAGATCTGCCTAAATGTCTTTATTGCTCCTCTCTTGAGTTCTTTCTCCCATTTTCCATGACCTAGCCTTCTTGCCTTCTAGGTGTGCAGAGGCACAAGGATGAAGGGCATGAGGCCTGGGATATCAGAAAGGCCTGGATATAATAGTTCAAACAAGTTTGAACTCAGCTGCTGTACTAGAACAGGCAGCTCCCACACTTTAAAAGGAGAAATAAGGAAGAAGAGGCCATTGGAGTCTCTGTCGGTGGTGGTCAGAGCAGTGAACAGTTTAAAGGGCTTCTTCATTAATCCTTCAGGGAATAGCAGCTCTTGGGAAGGAGGGTTGTTATGTATAAAAGTATCAAACAGTGAAAATGGAGTAGTACAATACAGTGTGTTTCTGCTCTTACTTTGTTCCTGGTTTTTTTAACTTGGTATTCAGAAATTGGACCCTGAGTGAGTGCTTGGTAACTTTGCTTTGATTGAGATAGCTCTTCAAGTGTTGTGTGTGATTTGTAGTAATTACTGTTTGTCTGTCTTTGTGCTGTTTTGTACTTTAGTTTGGGTTGTTTGAGATTTGAGGTATTTGCATAGTTATTTGGTTTTCTTAACAGCTTGGAGGATTTGGGATTTTTCAAAGGAATGCTTTTCAGTGTTTACTTAAGAACAACAAGCTAATTGCTTTTTAGAGTTGCAAATTACTTCGCCGGGTATTGTTTTGCTAATTTGGGGGAAATTTTGATTTTAAATTTAAATATTAATTTTAAGTTTAATTTTAAAGAGGATGTTATTGTTCTCTCTTTACCGTATTCAGTGTATTTTTCCCATTTTGTTGCTCCCTTTAAAAACTAGAATAGAATTGCTGCAGTGGCTTATTGGTGATTACTGTATGGAAAAGAGGGCGTTTCCTGTTTTCTTCAAACTGCTCCTTAAATCTTTTCATTGTCAACACATACTGCAGCTGTCAGTCAGGAATACTTGAACCTTCAAAGAAGCAATTTATGTTTTGTGCTGGTTCTTTTGCATACGAAAAAAACATGACAATGCCTCCTGCTTGAGGGAGATCAAGCCTTCTGCCTTTTTTCCTATTCTTTTTGAAGTTCCACAGGTTCCCAGAACATCCCAGAACATAGGAGGCATCCCTAAGTGAAATTAAACACCTGTAAATTAAACAATGTCTATAGATGGCAGTCAGAGAAGCTTTTTTCATGCAAAAGTGGTTGATTCCCTTTATTTTCAAAGTTCTTTTAACTTAGGAAAAGGTAGGCAATGGTCAGCAACCTGCGTCTATTATGCCTTTACTACTCCATACCAATGTGATAATTTTACACCATTGCTTGCTCTCCCTGTGTTTGTCTGTGGTCAACATTTTCGTGAATTCCTAATATTGCTTCTTATTAACTAAAAAGAATGGTGACCTTTATATTTCTTGGTAAGTGATGAATAAAATAGCTTTTGTGTTAGACAGGGAAGAGGAATAATGACTGAAGTGTGGTGTGGTAATGCTTGTGATTCCTAATTTGTTAAAATGTGCAAGCAATGATATTATACTTCAAAAGGTTATTTTAGTTCTGCATCCAACATTTTAAGAAACTTGTGTGATTGTGCTGTAGTTACTATAATGGTGATGTCAATGCAGAAAAAAATTAGATAAAGTGTGTTGCGAAGAGAGTGAAGATCTTACAAAATAACTGTAAGCACGCTGTTTAATGCTTCAGTAAATTCAGACAGCTTAGAAATTAAAAACCGAGTCACTTGTGGAATTCTTTGATATAGATTTCCTTAAGAGAAGCACACTGATACCTATAATCATAGAGGATACTGAGTTGGAAGAGGCCCACAAGGATCCTCAAATCCAGCTCCTGGCCTTTCACAGGAGGACCCCCAAGAATCAGATCATGTACTGAGACTGTTGTCCAAATGCTTCTTAAATTCTGGCAGGCTTGATACCATGGCCAGTTCCCTGGAGAGTGTGTTCCAGTGCCTGGTGCTCCTATCCAGATAGGTCATTGCCAATAATGAAATAGCCACCTATTCTTATTACTTCTTTCCTTAATTTCCAATATAATGCATCAGTTTTACTCCTTAGTTGGTCTTGCGCCATTTACAGCATTCCTGTAATAATTTGGTAACTCAGTAAGACCATAAAGCTGTAGGAGCTTCCTAGCTTTGTTTCTCTCTAACAATCCCATCGCATCCCTAAAAACTAAATGATTGATGTGGGGTGTCAAAGAAATCCATGCAGTAAGCTAAGTGGCTCCTTGTGGTCTGCATGGAGGAAAGAAATTATAAAGCATCCTGTAAAGATTTTTTCATATTTGTTTAAAAATGAAAAGCTTGTCTAAAGTCATTAATACTGTCATGTAGAGCTAAAAGACCTAGTGGTACAAAAAAACTATTATACTGTAATAGCTCAATACTTACCATGTTTTTGATCAGCTCTCAAGAGCCAGTTGTTTGATGTTTAAGAATACTTCAGCAAAGGTACTTGTAAAACAGTATTATTTCGTCTGAAAGTTCTTGAGATATTTGACCTTACTTCTTCATTGCCCTACAAGATGTAGTACATTGCTGAAAATATCCATAAGATGAATGTAGCACCCTTATGCAAAATTTTACATGGTTGACTGGTGTTCTTATTATGCTGTTCTCTCTAGTCCTCAAATCCAACACTTGAACTTTGAACTACTTGAACTTGAACTTGAACTACTGAAGTTCAAAATGTGAGGAAGTTTGGACAGAAGTACTCGTCTTTCTTTTTCTAGACCAGCTCTAGATGAGTGTAGCTGCAGGTTTTCTGGGAATGGTTTCTGAAACACACCTGCTGGCTGTAATGTGTAGAAGATGAGGACCTCCTACATGAGGTCCTGCAAGTTGTCCATTCTCATGGTACTGTGGAAAACAGCTCTGTTTTACTGGTGTGCCCTGATAAAAGAGCACTTTTTTTCAGGCTAGCTGCTGAAATAGTAATTGTGATTGTGTCTTTCAGTGTGGATGAAATTCAAGGGATATAGTTTATCTCAGTGCATGGTAATTGTCTGCATTGTTTCACATCATAATTATAGTCATGTAATCTTTCCCCCCAGATCACATTGTCCAACGTTCTTTTCATAATCATTTTGCCATGTGAGAGATATGATATAGTTGCCTGTATAAATCAGATTTTTTTAATAGGAATGTGTTGTAGCTGCTAATACTTGCATGTGTAGAGTGCTGGCCTGCTAGACATAAGGTCCCTAAATAGAGTTTTTCAAAATATATCCCAGATTATATCCTACTTGCCTGCTTTGGACTTCAAAAATCTCAGTCTTTGAGAACTTCTTTGAGTTCCTGAGAGAGCTTCTCAGACTCCTGTTTGAGTGTGGCCTACAACCAGTCTTTGATCTGGGTATTGCTGGGAGCAGTACCTTGTCCTTGACCCCAGACAGAATTCTACACTCTCCTATTGGAGATCGGGGTAGGCAGCATGCCTCCCAGCCTGCTCACACAGCTTCCAAGTCAGACTGATGTTTTCAAGGAGATCTGCAAATAACATAAAATTGATGGGTAATCAGTATGTTTTAGCCGTCACTTGCTCAGCAGGGCTAGTGGTGCAATGGTGCCCTGGAAGAAGTAAAATTAACTGCTGCTTTATATAATTTTCATTCTCAACAGATGCACAGTAGCAGGGATCAAGAAGGGAAGTAGCCCAAGTACTAGCAACAGTAAACATATGCACTCCTCTAGTCAGGAAGCAGAAGCAATAGGTATAAACAATTTCCTACTGATTGTTTAATTGTATTTTCCTCACCCGTAGATTAGATTCTGGATCATATTCTTTTGTTTTGTGCTAGATCATAAGTTGCTTGTTTAATCCAGATTCTTTATAATACTGAAGAAAATGAAATGTCTTTCTTTAAACAATTTCTTACCTACAGATAGGTCTTTGCTACACATAATTTATTTTCTTTATATTTGTTTGGTCACTGACAACACTGCTTTCCCCACAAAATAGGATGTTGTATACATGTTTTCTGTTACTTTAATTTTAGAATCATCCTTAGCTTTCACCGGCATTGCTTTAAAAAATAATCTCTGGCTGTCTTATACTCTGCTAGAATTTTCTTTGGCATCCATGCTAGCAGTTGTTGGACACCATTTTGAAATAAATCTTTGTCACAGATCTACTCACTTAGAAATAAAATGTGGACTTTGTCCCACTGTAACCTTTCCACAGTTGCAGTGGAAGTTTATGGGGATATACTAGTAATATTAAATGGAGATGAGGAAAGAGGGGAAGGCCTTCACTCTATGCAGCTGCTGTATAATTAGCAAAACACATACATTTAAGTGTTCTAAATATAGCGCATGTCAGTGATCCAAAAAGAAAACAGCAGAGAGCTAACTGGAAGTTGGGCAGCATTTAAACAAGTTGTTTTCCCTGTTTTCATGACTACAGTCTTTATTTTACAGGTCTTCTAATTAAATATTTTTTTTGGTTGTGTCCAGTAATTTGCGCAATCTAATAAATTTTAAGCTAAAACAAGTAAAGTCCTTTGGAACTGACAGTCCATTAGTATTTTTGTACATTACCTACATGTGGCGTAAATTAGCTCCATGTTAGCCTGTGTTTTGAGTAGTAAAGCTATTGTTTAAAATTTGTTTCTTTTACATTGAGATATCTTTCTAAATTCCTTATAAGAGCACCACTAAAGCACACACATAAAACACGTATTTCCCTCATCATGTCATAATCATAGGAAGAAGAGTAAATTGAGAATTTTTTAAAAATTTAAAAGTGTTCATTTTCATTTCAGTAAGTAGGAAATGACTTAGCAAATCTAAGCCATGTTTTCCATGATGAAGGGATATGTAAGAATTAAGTTTAAGATAAAAGAAAGAATGAATTTGTGGAGATGGAAGTTTGTATTCTCTATTTTCCCCTTTTGTGGGTCAGGTTTTCTTACTTTCATAGATACTCGCACTTACTGTCTCCCCTGAAGCACACAGGAATACGAACCTATCTTCCTCTCTTTCAAAGATAGAGCAAAGAACTTCAGAACTCTATTCATTATCTGCCTTGTAGATAACAGGTGGTGTCATAGTACAAATGTGTAAGTGATTCATTGGGAACTTTTTTATGGATCTTATTGAGAACTGTGGTTGGAGGGGTTGCCCAAGTCTCTTTGTAGTCTGAAACAGAAATGAATATTGAAAAACAGTAAATTCAAATAGATTTTGCTCATATTACAGAATAAATGGCATGGCTTTATTGCTGACCTAGTTTCTGTTCTTAGTGGTTGGTAACCTGTTGGATCTCTGCTTCTGTGGGTTTATGAGTGATTTAAACATCAGTCTGGAAGAGGAAGCTCAGAAAGCTGTTGTGGTAGTTTTAAAAATTAAAAGCACTGCTAAAAGGAAAAACCTGTGGATGTATTAAGGCTTAGAGGACACCAGTGTCCTCTGTCTCATTTGAGAAATTAGTCTCTCAGTGCTAGGAGTCAATGTTGTTTTTATGCAAGAGCATAATATGCCTATATGGAAGTAAATTGTACTTGAGTTAGAAAAAAAAAATCTCAGCAATATCATTATTTGGACACATTTGTCTGGTAGTGCTCCTTGCATGAAAAGGTATTTGCATTGTGTTGTAGCTTCAGGAGCAGCTTTCACAGTGCTTGCTCTGTACCTCTGTGGGTGTGCAGAGAAAATGAGGGGCATGTGATGTTCCCTCTTTCTCCTTTGGCAGCCGTGACCATGCCTGTAGTCTTAGTGAGGTGGAGTAAAGGAAAGTAGAGGGAAGGGAGACGTAATCCATTCCTCATTGCCTTGACTTAAAGATAGTATGAGCACATGGACTTATTTGGGCTTGGTTCCTTCCCCAGTAAACACAATTCCATATACTGTTTTCAGCTAGAGTAGTTGTTCCTAGTCTTTTCATAGGTGGTCCTCACTGCCATCACTCATTCCTCTTTCTCTGCTTTCTGCTTCTGCATTCTCATGCTTTACATTTTTACCTCTGTTCTTCATCGCTAGTTCTAGTTATAAGCGCTAATAAGCTTGCCTAAGCTTATTAACATGTATTTCTGTGTGTGATTCATTGTTGAAAACTAGCAGCTGGGTATTAGGTCTGATATTAATGTGCTCCACAGAATCTGGGCTGGAGGCCATTTTAATATGGATATATTATGGAAATATAAACTCACAGTTCTTTCATGCATGACAGCTTCCCTCAATGGCATTGATTGATATTTTTGCATTTGCCTTGTGTCAGTGAATGATGAAACCATTCTGAATGTTGCTGAGCTGCTCTCTGAGTTGTATATTAGATCCTGTGTTCCATGGTTTTAAGAGTTTTCTTTTTTTCCCTTTTTTTTCTCCTCTTTTAGACCATTTCACGTGGAGCCTACAAACATAGTCAGTGATAATGATGACATGCAAAGAGTCACTGATGAAGCTTCAGCAATGAATAAGCGGATTCATTATTATAGCAGGCTCACATCCCCTGCAGACAGGGCATTGGTAAGGCAAAGACAGGACCTCATTAACTGGGTGGCCTCTGGCATGTTGGGTCTTACACAGCCTGGATTTATATAAGCAACAGAAATAAAAATTGGGGGAGAATGGTTCTGCAGCTTGCTTTGAATCAAGTATCTAGTAACTGAGTGCCTTAGAAAGGTTTTGTCACAAGCTGTTATTTACTTCTTGTGCAATGCCTTCGCCATTAAAAGAAAATATACAAACAGCATGATTTTTTAAACAGTGATCCAGGCTGCCCAGGTTTCTCCCACCATTTTATCTTGTTTTATCTTTTATAAGATTAAAGCAGTGTTCAGCTGCAGTAATTGAACTGTTGAGCTAGCATGATCTATTCATAGTGTGTTTACACACATTTTGCAGAAGAAAAATATCTAGCTAGAAATTCTGTCAACTGTTTGTTGGGTTTCCCCCCCCCCAGGAAGAGAATTAGTGTAGTACAACCTTTTTTTATTTTTTTTAATTAAAAAAAAAAATTTTTATGTAATTTCCTGGAAATATTTTGTGACTTAAAATAGTTGACATGTTGTATTCAGGAAAATTAGTTATATTGATGTTACTAATCAGTCTTGCTTTTTATCTATTTATTAGATTGCTCCTGATCACGTACTCCCAGCTCCTGATGAAATCTACGTATACAGTCCATTAGGAACTGCTTTTAAAGTTGACAGTTGCACAGATGGCTATGGTAAAAACTCCAGTCTAGTGACAATGTATGTTAAACACCTTGCCATATAATAGCCTCAAAATGCATTATTATTGAATGTTCTGTATTAACAACATAACTGTTGTTAACTAAGAAGATAATATGAAGTAAGAGTGGTTCTTAAAAAATTCACTGAATTTTTTCTTCCTAGATTTATGATATGGAATACCATGATGGGTACATCCATATTAAGTATCCCATGGGGAATAAAACAGGTAAACTATGAAAAATATATGCGTATGAAAATGTTTGTGGCAACATGGTTTACTCTTCTTTTTTTGTGGTATATTCATAAATAAAATATTTCTCCCTCTTAACAGGCAGGCTTCACGTCTGGAATTATTCTCATCTTACTCATGGGCATTTTGACTCTCTATTGTTGTTACAGAGTTGTGAAATCACGGCAAATGATACGTAAGAAATCCAAAGCTTCATCATGCAAATACTTTAAGTGTGAAATACCAATATGTATTAGACTCTGTTTGTATGTGTCTTTACTATATGTTAGACCTGGCGTGCAAATAAAAGCTGTTCTTTGAATATCTCTCTATTTTTGTAGTCTGTGTCTAAGCTCTGTATGCTAAATGACTGTCTTTCCTTACTACATATTCCTTCAGTTGCTTGGGACCTAAGTATTATAGCCAAACACAGACTCTTAGCAAGCAGGGTTTCAGATGTTTGCTTACTAAGTTTCTGAGGACTTGGGGAGTTAGAGGCATCTTTTCTCCATAAGCACTGTCCAGTTCTCTGCATCAGGTCTGATCAACTTGCACAGTGGAACAGCATGGGCTGTAGCTGTGTCCCCTTGTGCTCTATGCCTGTATTACTCTAATATTTGTGTGTATTCTATACTGAAAGAACTCTTAAGTACAGTCAGCGGCTGAAGCAGTCACTGACAGTGGCTCTAATTAGAATGTACTTTTATTCAAAACTCATCTTGCAGCTCTTTGGTTGGTGCTTTTGTGTATAAACTAACCTCTCACTTACTCAAAAAAAGGCCATTAAGACCTTTGTCAGTTTGTGACTGAACTAATTTCAGGGCATTGTTGAGGAATAGCTCATAGAACTCTGGCCTACTTTGCCACAACTCCTTCAAAATGCTTTAGCTGCAAATTAATGGTGGCGTTTTTGCCATGTCTTGTTTCAGTGCTTCTGAAAGTATTCAAAAGCAGTAGTATGGCCACAATAAAAGTGTCTACTTCAGGCTTCTTCAGTCAAACACTCAATGAGTGCTATATTTTAAAGTTACTGGCAATTTTCTTAGTCCTTGAAAGCACTGTGAATGTGCGTGAGAATATTCTAAAGAAACCCCACATTTTGTCATGAATAGTTCTAAAGACTCTAATGTAACATTTTGTTTAGATATATTTTTGGTTTTTGTATCTTTTCAGCTTTAACAGATACCTCAAACTGGGAATTCCCAGATGTTTGCAGGTATTACTTTGGATCCTTTGGTCAATGGTCAAGCCTCTTATTTTCTATGATATCACTTGTTGGAGCCATGGTTGTTTATTGGGTACTTATGTCCAACTTTCTGTTCAACACAGGAAAATTTATATACAGTAAGTATATACTTTTGGTTAAGTTTTACAGCAATCCTTTGTAAAGATCAAGACTGCCTTATACTGAAAAAGAATTGTCCGTTTTATGTAATCCTGATTTTACTGCCACATTGCATGAAAAATCAATTGACAACTATGTATGGTGTTATGGGCAAAGTCCTGTGTGTTTTCAAAGCCACTTTTTCAATTTCTCAAAGTGTAGTTCTCTTGGTATAGTTTAAACAACCTAAACCTGGTTGCTTGATTCCACTATATTTTCATTCCCCTTTTTTTTTTTTTGCATGGGTGTATCTATTTGAACAGCCATGTATTTATTCAGGATAATGGAAAAAATACGGTTTCATTATAGATTTCAACAAACACTCTTAAAGTATTGCCGTGTAGGAAGTTTTTGCAAGTGTCCATGGGGAAGCAATGAACTGTATCCCAGTAAAAATGATTCTTAGTGTAGCATTGCTACAAAAGAATGCACACTGGGTTTTTATACGCTGGTACATGCACAGGCATGTGAGCATTTGTGTGCATAATCAATGCAGAGTTGTGGGAATGGCTGATGGAATTGAGAGCTTTGGAAATCTGACTCACAACATTGAGTAGGTTGACTAAGATGTAAAATATTCTGTTTTGAAGATTATCTCTGGGCAAATAACAGCGCAGACACTTAAGCCTGTTGCAAAGTGTTTAATTAGAATTTGCACCATCCCTATAGGGCATACTTTACTATATTGGTTAATGACTGATTAATTTTATAGTTGACCTAAATTATTTGGTGTTACAGCCACTTCATTTTAGACTTCAGGGTTTTTTAATAAGATTAACACTTTAATCTTAAATTATTCTGAATGAAATAATGCCAATTCTAATAAGCAAAATTCAAAATGGTGAAAAAGTCTTTATTTTCTAGGAAAAAAAATCCTGCTTTTCCATGGGACTGGCATGTATTTTATCCCTTACCTATACTGGAGTTCTTATTTAAATTGTTTGGTCTGAGATAACAATCTCTGTCTTCTTGTCCTAACTTTCATAATTAATGAATTAATTAATGAATCTTAATTACTAGGTAATAAAATACATAATAGGATGTAGGTTTGAAACAATGGCATCTTCTAGCCATGTGTTTCTAAGTATTCTAAGCAGGCTACTATGTTTAATACATTCAGATGACTTCTTAAAACATCTGCACATACAATTTAGATGGGGAAAAATTGATTTCCTGCAGGAGGATGGTCTAGAAGTCTACACAAAGAATTCCAGAATTGTTAGCTGAGTGCAATATCATGTCTTTTCTTTTACATGGTGTTGCATGGTCTTGTTCAGTTTTTGTTTTATGGGAAAAACAAAATCCACAAATGTAATTGCCAGTCCTAAACTGCTTTTTAAATACAGAAGAAACAGAAGTTGACATCTATAACAAATTTGAAAGTGGTTTAATTCTATAAGAGCTATTTTGATGGCTTCTCACTAGGTACCTTTTAAAATTAGGAACACGAAACAGTGATTTAACTAAAATCTTCTGACTGTTATGTGCTCTGAACTAGTGGAAGCAAGTATGAGAAACTTATTTGTGATTCAGGGTGTCATAAATCAAAATAAAAAAAGAAGAAACACTTTTCTTCCCACAAGACTTTTTGCTTTCTTTATGAGAAACAAGCTGCTTTTAATTGTATTTAAAAAATCTGAAGCCAACTGCCCCATTGATTTTCTGTGCACATAACACATCCACATGCAACAGAAGAAAAATTTAACCAGTGACACACTAATTCAAGCTGATGGAGCATTTTCTGTGTGTGTATATATATATATATATATAATTCATAAATATATATAATGAAATTGCTGTCCAATACCCTTTTAAAGGTGAGGTTACAGAAACTTGGAAATAACTGGTGGGGTATAGCAGTGAAGTAGCACAGGAGTGTCCTGGAAATAAAATGGTACCAGAGATGCCTATATGACAGTGAGGCTTAAAACATTTTTCCAGAGTTTGCCATGGAAACATGGAAAAAGCATCCCACAGAGCCTCTTGTGAAAAAGAAAATATTAGAAAATCAGTAAGGGAAGCTTTTTCTGTATAACACTGTCTGGACTAGGGGTGTGTTTGCATGCCCCTTTTTTCTGTCCCAAAAGAGGCTGGATTTAAGATTCATCTCCTCACTGGCTTACTATTCAACACTACCAACTGAGTATCTGGGAAAAGTGGAGGTGTGCTTGTGGAACAGGAATCCTGGGCGTGAGGAGTCTTGGGAAATTTATAGACAGGCAGGGCTTCTGATAAGAAAGTAATACAATGTATTATTTTCAGAGCTACTTTAAAACACTTCTACAGTAGTTTGAAAAATTTCACTTGGGTCTAGAGGGAGTGCAAGCTGCTGTGTTGTGCCTCTGATGTAGTTTTTCAAAATATTTTCTTGATTTTAGTCAAGTCAACAGATGAAAGCCTAATAACAGGTATGAGACATTGATAGTGAGATTTTCTTCTTTGCAGACTTCGTTCATGACATTAATGTAACAGATATTGTTCCTGGCACCAATGGAAGTAACAAAGGTAAGAAGCAATTACAATATGTGTTTCCAGTTTTGGGGTGGGGGCTTAAAGGCAAATCATCATGTTTCAACACCTAACCACATTTTAGTTACAAAGTATATATCATGAGTTGTAACTATGTGTTTCTTTAAAAACTATAGTTTTCTATCTGGGATTTGTACTTCCACAAGTAACCACGCACTTGGAGATCTGAATAACTGGGGAAGTGAAAAATAAGTAAAGAAAGTGGGGGTGAGAATAAGTATTGAAAAGCCAGTTACAAGTTTCTGTATGCCCAGATACATCCTCCTTAAAAGCCTGATGGTTAACTTTTTAACAGTAGTTTCACAATGAGGAATTGCCTTAAGGAATTTTAACTTTCACACCCTAAATGTGAGGCGCCTTAGTTCTGTTTACTGTTTAAAATCTTGGCTGGGGCAGCAAGTTCTGCAGCAAGATTATTTTTTTAAAAACTTATGTAAGAACAGCTTTTTCAATGCTGAGTGCAAAAAAGAAACAAATGTCAGGCTACTTGAGCCTCTGCTTGTGCTTTTTGGAGAGTCTGACATTTGCACAACTAAGGGAAGAAACTGCAGTCAAGTATGAACATAGATCTGTTCCAGGTTCTCAAGTAGGCAGAATAATGTAGAGTGAAGACAGCAGCAAAGCAAGGTAGGCATTGTCGACCCCTGAATCATTTCTGCCTCTGTGATAGTGACTGAATCCGTTTCTGAGGAAGCAGAAAGCTTTCTCTATCCTGAGTGCATGAGGAATGGGGAAACATATCACTACCAGCTGAGCAGCTGTGTGTAACACTAGCTGCAGCTGTGTTTCTGGAGAGCAGATGTTGGAGTTAGGCAAAGGAGTTGAGAAATAATTCTGAAAACCAGTTGATTTGCATTTGAGCTGGTGTTGAATCCTGCTCCTTTAACAGTCCTTGCCAGCTAGGCACCAATCTGTGCTCTCTCCTGCTTCTGCTGTTCTCTCCCATGCTTAGGCAGCAGGGGTTATAACTTGGAGGCAAAGTAGACAATTCCACACTATCCTCCACCAACTAGAAGATGTAAAGCAGCTGCTACACAAAATTGAGGGCTGCCAGATGTTCAAGTGACTCTTGACAGGACATTCAGGGCTACCAAGGCGATCAGTAAGAGCAAAAGCAATTTTCAAGGTTTGTGAAACAATCCTCTTTTAAGCAAGAAATTTGTCAGAACGCTTTTTATGCTTTTGCCTTTTTGACAGAATGGGAATGCAGATAGTGTAGGATACTGCCTATCGAGTATTGTGGGATGCCAAGATTTTAAATAAGACATTAGGAGAACAGTAAGTTTTATATTTCAACACAGCACTTCATAGGCATGTGTTCCTCAGGGGGTCTTTTTGATTGATTTTTTTCCAGTCACTTTGTCAGGTGCTGCCATTGATCAGCCTCCATGTAAGATGAGTATGACATTCCCTCTTAGCAGTGTTACTGGACCACATCTTAAATCTGTTGTACCATGTTGTTTGGCAGTGATGTACTTGCCCCTGTCATGGCACAAAGACAAGAGTGTTTTTGTTCTGCGTATGAGTTTTTGACCTACCAATTGTTACAGTAGTTTTGTTGTAATCCTTTGCTTGTTTGTTTGTTTGTAGAGCAATTTACAGTAATTCAGGCTCTTCTGTACAGAGGTGCGCTTGCATTTTGGTTGATACAGTCTTACTGAAGTGTGCAGGGACAGATTAGGATGCTAAATATGCAGCCAGATGCAGGGCAGCATTGCTGTGACTTGCTTCCAGTAGGTGCACATAGGCACTGAACAGGCCTCATTATAGGTATGTACCTTGAAGGATGATCCTGTATCACAACTTGGGCTTCAGATAAATTACCATCTTTGTTGTGATCAGCTGGAAAAACTGTAATACTGTCAGATTAGAGTGCAAGGTGCTTAGCAGTGGAATCTAAGCAATGAATTCCTGATTAAAAAAAACAAGCAGAAGTTAGGAATTGAGATACTGAACATTGCACTTGAGCAGTTTTCTGTAGATAAAACACACCATCAATTGTGGGATCTTGGCTGTGAATATTCTGTGCAAGTAAAACCCTTTTCATCTGAGGATATTTTTCTTTTCCTTTCTTCCAGTCATTTGTCCAAGTGCTGCTAGTGATCACCCACCACAGAACAGGAGTGTGATGTTCTCTTCTGGCAACAGAACAGGTTTTGAACTCTTTGAGGAATGGTGGGACAAATCACAAACAGTACCGCTTTACCTTATTGCAGTTCTTCTACCCCTGCTCAATCTGAAGTCTCCATCCTTCTTTGCGAAGTTTAATGTCCTAGGTAGGTAACAAATACTACTGAAGCATTGGTTCATTGTAACTGAAGTGAAAACTACTCCAGTGAGTAGAATCATAAATCGTTTCATTTGGACGAGTCTGTAAGGTTATTAAGTCCGACCATTAATGCAACACTGTCAAGTCCACCACTAAACCATTTCCATAATTTTTCAATATATCTAGGGATGCTGACTCAATAATTTCTCTGAATAGCCTGTTCCAATTCTTGGCAACCGTTTCCGAGAAGAACATTTTCCAAATCTGAACGTTCCCTGGCATAACTTGGGGCCATGTCCTCTCATCCTGTTGCCTGGGAAAAGAGATCAAGTCTCATCTGGCTACGTCCTCCTTTCAGGCAGGTGTAGAGAGTGTTAAAGTCACCGGAGCCTCCTTTTCTCCAGGATAAACACCCCCAGCTCCCTCAGCTGCTCCTCATAGAATTTGTGCTGTGGACTTTTCATTAGCTTAATTTCTTTTCCCTGGACACTTCCAGCATCTCAATGTCCTTCTTATCTTGAGGGGCCCAAAACTGGCAATATTCATGTCACAGGAGCAGCCCCACCAGAGCTGAGTACAGGGGGACAATCCCTGCCCTGCTCCTGCTGGCCACACTATTGCTGATCCAGCCCAGGATGCCGTTGGCCTTTTTGGCCACCCATCAGCACATTGTCAGCCCATGTTCAGCTGCTGTCAACCAGCACCTCCAGGTCCTTTTCCATTAGGCAGCTTTCCAGCCACTGTTTCAGTATTTTTCTGGCAGCCCATATTGTGCCTTGAAGTGGGTTGCCAGTTGGTTTGTTAGCCCCACAGGCTTTGTGTGCTGCTTTGCTTGAATCTTATGGGTATAAGGAGTTAATTTTTCTTACTTTTTCTTGCCTGATAATCCTGTGAAGCAAATTCCATTACATCTATAGCAGATCTTCCCAAATGGTTCTATGCATACTACTGTGCAGCATTTGATACATACACTTGGTATAGTCAGACATACTCTTCCTCCTCTAGTATAACATTTCAAACCAGAAGTTGCTTCTGATCTGAAGTAATTTTCTGCCAGGCAGGTGATTAATTAATCACAATATCAGTCAGTCAGTATGACCTCCTGCTGTTCTTTGTCCCAACTTCCAATATTGTGGACTCCTCTGCTGCAGAGGAAACAATTGTGACTTCCTGCTTCCATGACTTGAGGTAGAAGGCCAGGGTGGGTGAGGCTGATAAAGTGAGTAAAGCATATGCATGACAGGTGGAGCTGGCCAGTTCAGGGAGTTGAAGAGGTCTGAGGGATAACACTGAAGCTCACAATGAAGAGAAAAAGAAAACTAGATGGGGATCAGAGGTCGAAAAAGTTGGAAATGCATTGTAAAGGAGGTAGAGGACAGAGATTTGAAGGTCTAATTTGTTCATCTGTTCCATAGTGATACTTCATCAGAGCTTGGATCTGCTCTTACTGAAACCACTAAATTGCTTCTGTGCAAAAGGTGTGGGTTTTATGTAGGTAGATATAACATTAGAAATTTAAAACCCAGAATATTAATTACTCATCGCTTCAGTAGATTATTAATGATTATTACTATCGCTTCAGTAGATTATTTACTCAGAAGCTGTTCAAAATTGCCTTAATTTTTGTAAACATTGAAGTTTATAGGACAAGAAAAAATTGAAGGCAATTTTGAGATGCTGTAAAGTTTTGTTTATCTTGATACCCATGGAATATTCTAAACTGTTAAAACTGGGTTTTTGTCTTTGGTTACTTACAGCGTGTTCTCTGCTCACTAGCAGCCTTCCTGGCCACGAGGTTCATTGCAGTAGCCTTAATTCTTGTTGTTCACTTTCCTTCAATTTTTAGTTACTATTAGTTACTATTATTATTTAGTTACTATTCTCCTCTTGTCTCTTTCAAATGGTCTGACGCAAGACTGTATCCCCACAAGACCCTCCATCCTACGGTATACACAGCAAGCATTATACCTATCTGTGGTTTCATTTGTTGTCCTTTAGTTGTGCAGAGTACTGCTGGCTGCCTCTGAACCAATGAGATGGAATGCAAATCTAGTATTATAATAAAGATTATCCAAAATTACAATTAACACAATGTTTTAATCAGTAGTAGTTGAAATGTCATTATCAACTTCTAGCTCCCAGTGTGAAATTCATAAGTGAAGTAATTTCATTTTCCATTGAGCTGTTTGGTTCAAAAGGTCAGTGGCTAGATGGACATTGTAATAGCTGGAGTACTGTGATCAACACTGTCTAAGCTTAGACTGAAATCCTGGCAGTGGAAGCTGGAACTGGTCTATTAGTGCCTAAAGACCTTCCTACCTGCCCAGCAACAGGGATTACAGGGTACTTCATCTGCTATCACCAGCACCTGGGAAATATTAAACTTGCAGGAAGTTTACATTGTGTGCATGTGCATTATTTTTTCTCTCTGACCTATAAGAGAAGTAAAGAAAAAGTTTAGACCTAGTCTTCCGTTAGGAATGAATACCAACCATAAATGTTTGACTACTAGTAACTAGATGGATGGAACAGAAATTAAATCCTGCATAAATACTTCCTACTATATCATGGTATTTATTTGGATCTTGTTTTTTTCCAGGTACAGTTTCAGTTGTCTACTTAGTTTTTCTGGTTACAGTAAAGGCTGTTCATCTGGGAATACACTTAGAATTCAACTGGTTTACAGGAAATGAATTTTTCGTACCAGGTAAGATAGTTAAAATGCAGTAGTGAAGCTTATATTTGGTGTGTTTTAAGATTTTTTTTTTTTTACTCATCACCATTTAACACCTCAGAGACATAAATAAAGTGAGGAAATGCTGTCTGGTATTGCAAGTAAAGAAAAGATCCCTCTGGACAAAGTGGCAAGGAGTCTCTTTCCCCATGATATTCCTTAGTTAAAAGACAATATCAACATGGGAAAGAGGAGGACTGCCTATCAGAGGAATCTTCAACATATAGCTTGTGACAGACAGCTTGCCATAGTCCTGTTTCACCTATGTTATTTTAAATTCTGGTTGCAACAATTTCAGATCATGCCTGTTTCAGTAGCAATTAAAAATTACAAACTGTAGACAGACTGACTGTTAAGGGTGCTCTAAGTTCCCCACACAATGTCTTGCTTAAATGAAATAGCTCATTCACCATAATTTGCAAGTAGTTTTCCTGTACTTCCCGGTCTATCTCTCTCTACTTAGGCAATAATCTTGGTAGCCCTTCTCTTTCAAACATCCATTAGCTGTTTTTATCCCATCAATACCCATCAGTATGTTTTTATTTTCTTGAAAGTTGTTTGATGGCTACTTGTTCTTTCCAAATTACTGTTAAAAATTACTCTGTGATATATTATCTTAAGATTATATATCTTAAACAAGTGGCATTTGGTATTACTTGGACAGATAGCCTAAATAGAACAGTTTCTTCTTTAAGAAACCTGGAATAAGAGAACCAGGGTTAGGTCCTAGCTGGTTTTTCCCCAATCTTTACAATAAGCAAAATTTTATGACCAGTTAGTTCCAGGGAGCAGTATCCTGTACATTGGAATAGTATCACTTCTGTTCTTAAAACAAGTGAGAAAAATTAGTTATAGTGACATATATGCTACAGGCCATTGAAAAGTAGAGCACCCAGTAGTTTGATTAATTTGGCAAAAACTCCTAGGATTGCTAGGAGATAGACAAAACATGTAGCTAATGCATACAAATACAGCTACCGAGAGATTCTGAAACTGTCAGTTTGCTTTTTTTAATTGAGATTGAAGTAGTGGATGGAAAACGAGCCTGGAATTCGAGCTCAGATGTTGGTTGCACTCTCAATTCTGTCAGTAGTGCATCATTCTAATTAGGTATTGAAGGTACAGTGAAACTAGCTCTAGGGAAAGCTTATTCTTTCAGTTTGGATAAGCCCTCCATTAGTTGCATACTTTCCTAACTTTATAGCACTTTATAGAAGTCTGTTTTAAATATGTTTGCATGGAACTCTCTGTGTTTTTTTCTGTAAGGGTTTGTGAACCTCTGAAGAGTATCATGCTATATTTCCAGATGCTTCTCAGAAGCTGAGTTATCTTAGGGATCTCTAATTGCTGTTAGCACTCTGATGAGTACATATGTTTTTAGGTAATACCAACTATGTGATGCTTTAATACTATGCATTGGTGAATTCCTAGACCATTTGCAGCACTTCCAGAACCATCATATTGTGAACATCTTTTGAGTATTAAAAAAGCAGAACAATGCTATTCCCATAGAGACAAGAAACAAATTTTTTCATACATGCTGTAAAGCATGATAAGAAATTGCTCTGCCTTTCTGCACTGTATGTCATCTGCATTTTGGCATTGCTTGTTTCAAATAAGTAATTTTAAAACACTTTTTTTTCCTTCATTTAGAGTTTAGAATTCTGTTCCCTCAGCTCACAGGGGTTCTAACACTTGCTTTCTTCATCCACAATTGTGTCATCACACTTCTTCAGAATAACAGGAATCAAGAAAACAATGTAAGTATCTTCACAAGACTGTGCTCATTTATTTCTAGATTGCCAGACAACAGTAATTTTTTCCTGTGATTTTATAAGAAGAAAGTTACACATTCTTTTCCTTGCTATGAGGGAGTGACAGATAAATTACAAATTTATTCACATAAAAGCCCTGAGGAATGCCCCAAACTTACTTTTGGTCAAGCTGGTATTAAATGGCCAAACTGCACACAAGAGGTAGATGACGTGACAGAGTTGTAGGACCCAATGAAAACTGACCAATTTTAGAATGAAAAATGGTGGAAAATGTTTGGTACAGGACTGATCTTAGTAGAATCTCAAACAGTAGTTTTGGGGTCTAGGTAGTACCTTTTCTTACAGTTGCTTCAATAGTTTTGTCTCACAATTCTAGTCAAGGTCCATAGAGAAACTTGGCACAATTTAGGAAATCCTGTAAGTTGAAGCCTGGATCAGGAGGATTTGTGATATATAGTCTTTGGACTGGTGCTTTGCCCTTGAAAAAGTTAAGCACTGCTTCTCCAGATGGAACTGCATTCTTTATTAATATCTTTCCATTATAGCATACCAGATGGAGTAAACACAATACACAGAGTCTGAGAGTAACTTTTACTCTTATTACTTTTATTATTTTATCTTTTCCTCCCTACTTCCAAGGATTCTTTTCCAGCTTCATTAAAATGTTAGCTGTAAATACCTGCAATAACATAAAAGATTTTAAAATACTAGCTGTATGAAAAACTGATACGACATCATAGAATCCCAGAATGCTTGAAGTTGTAAGGAACCTCTGGATGTCATCTTGTCCCCCTAGTCAATCCGTGCCACTGAGAGCCAGATGCCTATATAACATATCAGATACAATATATGAGATTTGATTATTTGACAGTGAAATGCAGATTATGTACCAATGCAATAAGATGGCCTCTTAGGCTTTAGAAATCTAAATAGTTACTTCCTTGTACCTGTGAATCAGGATCAGCTTGCGAATGACCATATCTGCAAAAGAGTCATGAATTCTCCTCCAGGAAGCTTCTGGGGACTTACTGGGCTTCTCAGAAATTAGTTTAACAGCTGGAGGTCTGGGCAGAGAAAGCTAAGTAAGCTTTTTCTCGATTCCCTTAAGAAAATCTTAGAACGTAGAGAAGGGGAAGATTCCTTTATAATGTGGCTTTCAAATTCTAAAGACTAGATCTCCAGCAATCAGCTCTATATGCAGAGGAGGCCTAATACCCTCATTCCATCTTCAAGGTTTTTCCGTGTATTTTCCCCCTCCATTTACATCAGAGCAAGCAATCAGATGCAAAAAGCAGCACCTGGAGTGTTCTCCAGCTTGTTTTTCCTGTGTGAAGGAGGAAGAAACTGCTGCCTGCATTTGAATTAGCTTTTCTAATACCGTTCCTGGAGCTTAAGTTGAATTTCCAAGTCAGCCCTAGCATGGATCTCAAGCCCTTGAAAAAATCAGCATTCCAGAAGAATGTTCAAATTGCTCAGAAAGTACACCTCTGAAGTATGGCAGGAAAAAATTTTAATTGCAAAACAAATCTCTGTGTAGTTCTTGTAGTAGTTTTATTTGGCCGGAGATCTCTTTTCCTTTTGTAGCTGTATGGGAGCCTTTCACCTAGGTCTCAAAAGTGCTTTGCAAATGTTAATGAAGTATCTATGCTCTGGAAGAGCTGTTTGGTGATGATGTCACTAAGCTGCTGGGCTAAGTGGGGTATTTCCATATGTATAGGGGTCTGCTCTCTGTCATAAGTTGTGGGGGGTTTTTTCCATATATTTACAAGATGCTTTCTTCTCTCACTATCTGATGGGCTGATGCTGATATAACTCTATGGATAAAAACTTCACTGTTTTATTTATCGACCTGTTAACATGTCACTTCCAGTAGTGGTCTGTGAAAAGGCAGGGAACTTGGCAATCTGGATAAGCACTGTTTTAGTCTTGAACAAAACTTGCTGAAACTAGTGGTCATAGAACAACTCTTTGGGGAGGTGAAAAAAAGTAAGACAAACAATAACATTCCTCTTATGGAGTCAGAAATTCAAAACAATAGCAGCTTCCATTCTGGTCACAGGCGTGCATCACAGCCCAAAGCTAAAACACACATGGGGGAGGACTGCTCTGGCCGCTATTCCTGTACAGTGGTGTGGGTGTGAGAAAAGAGCAGCGCACCAGAGTAAGCCACATGTTAGCAGCACAGCCTGGAGAAGCCCTGTGAGCAGGTTTTTAGTCTGCAGTTCAGTCTGCAGAATTGAGTTTCCTGGTCCCATCTCCCACTGTTGCTGCCTCCTTGCATTTATCAGTGTAAGTTTTTGTACAGTGCTCAGTCAAATGGTTTGAAAACAACTTGCATAGGAAATGTAACCCAGCCACAAAAAGGAGTTTAACTGTGGGTTTTGGTTGGTTGTTTTTTTCCTGATTCATGTCTGTGATCAGTTTCTCTGAGCAGCAGTACAGATGTTACACAAGCCCACCATGATCTACAGGTATGAATACACTAGTGCTGTCTCCTAACATTTGTTTGTGGATGTACCTGGGAGAAAGGCTGTTATTGGGAAGATGTTTTTTGTCTAGGTATTAACTGCAGAAGGCATGGAGTTCTAAGTGGTACTTATTTTCTGCAGTGTTAAAACACTTTATTCCCTGTAAACAGAGTGAGCTTCTATGGATGGTGCCATACCGTTGGTTTTTCTTTCCACAAAAATTATGCACAGCATCATCCCTCCTGGTGAAGTGCTTTTCTTTTTGTCACCCAATTAAGTGTTACCACTTGTCCTTGATGCATGAACAGATGAAGTCTGTTTTTAGGATCTAGATCAAAGTTCTGTTGAGATATTAGAGAGACAGCATCTCTCTTGAGAAGAGACTAATCTGGCATGAGATGACCTAAACGTATTTCAAATGTGGTAATCATTACTAAGCACTGATACAGGCTTCTCCATCCAGGAAGCAACTCCACCAACTAGCTTTCACTGGTATTGAGGAAGGAAGTGAACTGTTTCCTCCATGTCATTCAATAGATAAATCAAGGCCTGGAAGTAGCCTGTTCTTTGCAGCACCACATAAGCAATGTCCATAGAGCCACAGAGCCTTCTCTGTGCCGTGTCAAATTCCTTTGCAGGTCTGGCCAGAACCTGAGTACTGACTGTGAGTGTGGTGCAATGTCTTGTACTTTCAGGGTTGTCTTTGTTAGCTCCACCTAATTTATCAGACTCATCCTTTTGTTAGGAGGGTGATAACGTCCCTTGTTCTACTGCTGCTGCCAGCCTAGGTCACCCAATTTTCTCTTCTTCCAGTGGAACTTCTAACACTTTGTTCTGTGGATCTGACCAGGAGAGCTCCTTGTCAGCAGTAATTGCAGCTAACATGTGTCCTTCAAGCTCTGTCTGAAAATTTGCCTGTTACTTCAGGTGTATTTGACAAGGGCTTGTCAGGTGTCAGGCTGTGATCCTTGTGGACTGTGACCTGCATGTTACCTTAGATACTTATTTTGAGACTTCCACCATGATTCTATAAATACTTCCTACTTCCAACATTATTTTTTCTACAAGTTTGATTCTTAAACTGTGGCTGTAAGAATTGCTATGTTCTTATGCTTAGGCAGCTTTCACCACAGCAATGTCCATTTTGTATGTAAATGCCTCCCGTTCAAATTTAAAATAAAAAAGTGTAGTTATTGCTCTTACTTAAAATTATCCTTTTGTCTCTTCGCATATGTCCATTGATTTTATCTGGAATTATGCTGTCTAAACAGTACTGTCGAGGTCTTTAGGGAGTGAACCCAGGTCTCTTGAGGAATGATGAACATTAATCAAAAGATATTCCTATTGTGTAAACACATGTTGTCGTACAAAGATAACCATCTTATACGCAGCAGCATATGTTTGGAAGGGAGAGAATGGATGTTTGAGAAAAAAATAAATCTGGGTTTTCAAGTTGGCTATTTCTATTTTAGTAGCTTATTGAAATCAAAATCTGTGTACTCCTTGTGTGGTGACAGCACCTGGAGATAAAAGCCTGTTGTGTTACGTGCTATGAAAATAAATTATCAAAATTATCTCAGCACTTAGTTTCAGTGCAGATTAAATCATACACCCTTAAGAACTCTAGAAACATGAACTGATTAGTACTGGTCCTAGTACCTGTTGGAGATAATAGCACACCACCTATCGACCATTTTTCATGTCCAAAGGAAGCAGTAAGAATTTTATTTCAGATCTCTTGCCCTCACAACTGCATGCACATGTCACAGCAAAAATAGTTTTACAGTTGGTTCTAGAACTTACGTGTTCTATAGTTAGGCAAAGTACAAATAACAACTGTAAGTTACTATTCTGTTTTAATGCATTAGGACTACACCTAAAACACCAGATTTAAAGCAGATTTTGCCAGATGACGTGGATTAAGAAAGTCTTGGATACGTTTTGAAAAATTTTTGAAGTCCTGTTCTCAAGGGATGAGAGTCTGTATCTTTTGCAAAACAGCCTTACTGTGTCTCTGAGTACTGCAGTTAATGGAAGTTACTGTAAGAAATACCTATAAGAAATTCAGATGCTCATATTTAGAATCTTTAAAATCAGTTCTTAGGATGGATGGGCACTGGTGCTTCTGAAGATGTAGATGTTATAAAAAAACCTGTGCAACTTCTCATGTCATGAGGAGAAATTCTGCATGCAATTTAAAGGCTACTTTTCAGCTTCTGATGAAAGTCGATAGTCCTTACTCAATGACCAGTATGAGGAGGGTGAAGTCTAGGCAATCGTCTTTCTTGAGCATTTAACTAGTCAGTAGGAGGAAGAGGTTGCAGCTAGAAATGTGCAGCTGCTGGGAGCTTGAAGGCCACCCTGGAATGTGTTCAAAGCACACAGATACCTTTTCCCATCAGCCTTTAAGAGCAAATAATATTCCTCATCAGACAGCAATCTTCTACCCCAAAAACACTGGCAAAATGAATAGGAGATTCCACATCTTTCACCAAAAACTGACTTCCATTTGAATTTCTCTCAAAACTCATAATCTAGCATTTTATACTTTCCTCAGGGATTGCCTTACTCTTGGCATAGCCTGGAGTGGTGTAAGATATGCTCCTTCTGTTAACAAGATAGTGTGAAGAAGCACTTAGGGAAACATTTTCATGCACAGATGTGGAGAAGCTTAGCTCGTGCTCAGTGAGCTAGCTGTAGGTGAAAATTATCACCCTGGTCTGGAAACCAGTATAATCCTAATAATTTGATGCTATGCCTGAACTAGTAAGACTTGCTTCTCAGTCTTAGGAAAATAGGGTCATGTATTGAAACATTACTAGTAATCCTTTAAGAAGCTGATGATTAGCAGCAGCTGAACAAATAGTTTGCTGCAAGGTGATGAGTGTTTTGTACTGTAATATAACCTCATACAGAATTTGGTTTGTTAATAACTAGAAACAAATGGTCTCCCTCTTTATTTCCAAAGGAAGGAATTTATGTAGAAGAATAAGTCACCAAGTAGACTGCTGTGAGATCAGTCTGATGTATATGTGGATTCTCTAGTTCCATAAAGTAATTAATTGGTTTTGCCAGTGGTTTTCCTGTAATAAATGTGTAATTATTTTTGTGTAATGTAAAATACTTGTATATATTCTATATTTTATAAAGAGAGCCAAAATTTTCACAACTGAACATTGAAGTTTAGGTTTAAATCCATACTTAAGTTTATGTAGTGTGGTTAAGTGTGGATTTATAACCCTAGCTTCAATGCTCTTTCCTTAAAACTTTTGATTAAGTTCCTTTGTACTATATCTGCAGTTGGGTGGGCTGATATCTTTGATTGCAAGATTTTATTCATGGCAAGAAATATAGCATAGGGCGTTGCTGGGCTTTTTGTCTTGGACAACTGTGTTTGTGTCCTGAGGGTCTTAATAGGAATAGGTGAATGTATGAAAGTAGAAGGAATTTCCTGTTTGTTTTAATAACTAGTGTATGTTTATGCATCAGGAAGAATATGCTACATCTCTTGGCATATCTCTTTCATGGTGCATTTTTTGAAAGTTGAGAGATAAATAATACTTGTCTAATTCCACTTTGGGGTATCTCCTTCCAGCTTTCTGATCTGATCAGAGCCTCCATTCAAGTAGTAGGAAGTAAAAATAAAAATGTACAAGTGATAGTAGTAAATATGAAGAAGTAATGCATATAAAAGTACCAGTGATATATGAAATAGAAATTTTTTTACGAGGTTTTTATTTCATCTGGGTTTGTGTGTAAGTGCTGGCTGGCCAAAATAAATCTTGTTTTTCCTCAGGTGAGAGACCTCTCTATTGCATACTTCCTGGTTGGACTAACATATCTGTATGTTGGAGTGATAATTTTTGCATCTTTTCCTTCTCCACCGTTATCCAAAGAATGTATTGAACAGGTGAGATATTTTACTGCAGTATGCATTTAATGGAATCACAAAATGGGTTTTTTGGTGAGACCACAGTGGGTCATCTGGTCCAACCTCCCTGCTCAAGCAGGGCTGTCCCAGAGCATATGGCACAGGATTGCATCCAGATGGTTCTGGAATATCTTCGATGAGAGAGACTCCAGAACTCCAGTGGACAATCTGTTCCAGTGCACAGTCACTCACACTGTGAAGAATTTTTTCTTCATGTTCAGCTGAAACTTTCTGTGCATCAGTTTCTGCCCATTGCCTCTTGTCCTGTTGCTTGGCACCACCAAGAAGAGCCAGGTCCATCCTCCTGACACCCTCCTTTCAGATACCTGTATATATACTTTGATGAGGTACAACAGGAGCAGGCCCAGCTCCGTCAGCTTTTCCTTGTAAGAGAGGTGCTCCAATCCCTTGATCATCTTTGTAGCCCTGAGCTGGACCCACTCCAGGAGATCCATGGTGAATATTTTGGTGGAAAACAAATGTCTAATAAATACTCTGTGAAAGTGATGAAGGACCAAAATTAACAAGTGAACAATTGAGCTTTTCATTTCTTTAGCATCTTTAATTCTGAGAAATGTGTGCAGTGACTCATTGGGATTCCAGAAGAAATAGAATGTGAAAGTAAGCTTGCTTAGATAGGAGTCCTCACTGCAATTATATTTTAAGTCTGACAGTCTGGAGTCTGACATTCTGGTGAGCCTTGCCTGCAGTTCTTCAGATATTAGCACCACATGTAATATTCTGTGAAAGCTAAAAACTCTTATCTCCTTATAGGTAAAGCTGATTTCCACACCCTAAATTGCTTCAGAGATAGCAGTTATCAGTGAGGGATCCATTTTATATGCTCTATATGTTCTATAGCTCTGGCATAATATTTAGCAGTAAGGCAGCATTTAAAGGCTTCCTCTGAGTGTGGATTAGTTAGAACTGGTACCACTGTTAAACCATGAAATTATTTTTTTTAACCACAGGATTCCACAGGATGAAATCCAAAGTTAAATAACAGATAATGAGTGATTTTCTTCCCATTTATTTTCTGTAGTTATCTCAGGTACTTATGAAACCATACATGTATTTCTATGATATTTAAGTCTTATAATACTTTTTCAGATGTTCCCACTAGTAGTGTACGATCCCTTCCTCATTTGTATGTAATGCAGTTTTACTCACTAAATAACTGTTTTTAATAAGTAGGTATGATAGGACAGATAATAGATGCATATGAATCCATCTGCCTAAAAGGTCAGATAGCCCTTTCACAGCCTGGATTATTTGAGGGTGTTCAGAAGATCAGAAAGTAATTCCTTACGTTATACTAACATTAACATTGACATCAGCCTAGTAATATTCAAAAATTGGTTGTAATTTGGTGGCAAGGTAGTTATATAAGAGGGAGAGGGTTTTTCATGTAATGGAGTTCATTTAGGAATTGTAGTTGTTTGGATTTTATCCCCTTCTTTCTGGTACACAGATATTAAAAACCAGCAAATGCATGTAAACAAGTCACCATTGATATGTAACATTACTTATATGTTTAGAATTTTCTAGATAACTTTCCCAGTGATGACGTCATGTCATTTGTTGCAAGAATATTTCTGCTGTTCCAAATGATGACTGTATACCCACTGTTGGGCTATCTGGTGCGAGTTCAGCTGTTAAGACAGTTTTTTGGAAATGCTTACCCAAGGTAAGAAGTCTGTTTCTTGACAATAGTTTTGCACACTTTGCTTAACTGGCTTTCTGTTGTCAGAAATTTGGCTAGGTTTTGGGGGATTTTCTTTGTACACTGGGTACATTTCATAAGCTGGTTTCACAGAGTTTAAAGAGTCAGAGTGAATAGGCACACTAAACAAACTTGCCTGCAGATCAGGACTGGTACAGCTTGCCAGAGCAGAATAAGGGGGGATTCTTTTAGTTTAGTTCTTCATTCTGTCAATAAATAGGAGATTTTGTCAACAGAGTCCCTTTGTGTTAGGCAATTATATGGCAAAAGAAAAGTTGTACAGGAAAAAAATGGTTTAGTCCAGAAGTATTTCATTTAGCAATCCTTAAGCTGTGAAAAACATATACTCCAGATAGTAACCTTTCAGCATGCCATCTTTGTTTTGATTGTGCATGATTAGTAATCATCCATCTGTTTTTGAATAGAGTAATAGCTAAGTGAGTTGTTAATTGTATTATCTGGGCAGCTGCTATGCTTATAAAAATAGCTTTTCACATGCTAATTTCAGAAATGAGCCACACCCTTGCATTTGTAAAGTGTCTCTGCTTCAGGGAAGAGCTGATGCAGATTTCAGTTTTAGTTTGGTTTTTTAAATAAAACCTAGGGTATTTATATTTGGAGTACTGGAGTACTGAAATTGTCACAGCTGAGAAGTTGCCATTTATCTCCAAGTTTCTTATTTTGTATTGTGAATTACTGTTGATGGAAGAAAGGAAAAAAAAATCTCAGGAAGGAATGTGTATTTCCTCTGTGGCATCAGCAGTTCAGGTCTTCAGAGATGTTGTTCCAAGTTTCAGGTTTCTTCTGAGTCCTAAAATAGGTATGAGAAATTCTAGAAACTGAATGCCTAAAATTAGGCAGTGAAATAAGTGCCTGCTTTTTTTGACTCTGAATTGTATGCAGTTCAATGTTGAGATTTTTAGGAACTGCTGCAAGTTACTGTTGGAAACAAGGCCATTTATTTAAGTGCTAAAGATGGATTTCGCAGCCACTGGGAAATAGTCTTGTCCTTTATATTACGTGGATGTGCCTTTTCCTATCTCCTCCCTCTAGTTACTCTCTGACCAGAATGGTTTTCATTTCCCTCATGGCCTCTCCTAGAACCTACAGCTGTATGCCAGTCTCTTCTCAGTTTAATTCCAGCTTGCTGTTTTAAGCCTTCATAGTATGACAAATTTGATGATGCAGATACTTGCTTGATTCTTGTCTCCAGGATGTCCTGTGGGTAGCTTCACTCATTTTTAAATTTATTTTTTAAGACTCCTTGTAGTGAAATATTTAAAGCTTCTGAGAAGTCAAAAATGGTTTCTAGGAAGCTATATAAGTCTCTCCAACCTGTAGTGATAAGGTAGCATATTCTGACTGATGGGCTCTCTCGCTCTCTAGCATCCCAGGTGTCTCAAATATGGCACCAGAAATCACTCAATTAACCTTCAGGCTCTGGCTTCTGTGCATTTACAAGGTCAGCCCTTGTTTTTTTCTATGCAGCAAAGACTTACTGAAGGCTGTTAGCAAGCACAGGACATGTCTCTGAGAGGATAGTAAAGATTCACTACCTGGTTATGAAACGTGTCTTCATGACTGTTTCTCACCAGTCACCTAAGCTGACAAAGCTCTTTTAGTAGCACTTTGTCACCTCACTAGGAAAAGCTTCAGTGTTTTTGTTTTTTCCCAGAGCTGCTTTTGTAGGAAAATGTTTTGCAAATATGAAGATGTTGCTCTTACTGACATAGGTTGGTGTTTTACTGGAGAGCCTGTTGATTGACTCTGAAGGACCTACTTGAAAATATTAAGTTCTGTGGCTCTTAGTGTAGGAAAATGAGCACTATACTAAAAGTTGAATATACTTGGCTTCTTTTCTCAACGTTCTCATTAATCAGGGCTAACAGCTCTTGGGCAATAAGAAGATTGACCTGCAGAGATTCATGCTTTACCTCTTAGATGTCTATATAAGGTGAATATGTGGAGGAGAATATCCTGGGTCACGTGCCTGGAGAAAATTTTTGTGAAAAATAGTGAACCAAATAGTGAAGAAATTTTGTGAAATAGTGAACCGAAAGGATAAAAAAGGAGGAAAAGAGCAGGATCTCTATTGTCAACCTAGCCTCATTTAACCCTGTAACTCTATGTGCTAAATCACATATCTTTTCATAGGTGCATCTTTCTTATATTAAGTTTTATTTGCAGCTAAGAGAAATGTTATAAATTTGCCTTCTGAATATAATTGTCCAAACAAAACCAACAAAAAGAACAAAGTCTAACAGGAACACCTTCTGCTTTGTTCCAAGTCTCCATTAGAAATTTTTCTATCTTCATTTTTAAACTGTTGGTTGTTTCACATGGAAGCTCACTGATTTTAAAAGCCAGGCTTCTTCACATCAGCAGTTATTTTCATGTGTGGGTACCTGCTGCTGCTGTGGATGGCGTTAACAGATAGCAATTAAGTTATTAAATGGAGTACTTAGAATTTTGGATGGATGCAATTTAAAGCAAATAGCTTGATCTCGCAAATGTTTACAGGGCTACCAGATAGTGTTTATTTCCTGGGAATGATTGCATTGCTTAGATCAATTTAATTCTCTGGGTTTTACCCCTTTTTCTTTATCTATTACTGGTAAGTACCAAGATACTAGTTTGCTGTGCTGCAATTTATAGTCTTGATTTTTGATCTAATCAAAGGCAAGTTCTACCAGAAGCAACATCATGGTTCATATCCTACTTTTTTTCTGGTAAACCATGGATTATAACTGGATTATAATGAGAAACTACATAGTCATCTTTAAGGGAGCTTTTATTGTCTGAAGATTTGATTTTCATGTCTTTTGTCCTGTGCTTTTAAGATACTCTATAGTGCTATTTTCCTGTAAACAACTCTTTGCTGTGTGTACCTATAGTGTATCCTACTAACTTACAGTTTTGAGTGATGAAACAGCTCAGCCTCTCTGAATTTAAAAGCTTCAACAGACAATATGTAACTTTTTTTCTCCCAGGTTTCCCAATAGACAGAAGCTGAACAGTGGGAGATCACTTATCTGAAAGAAAATTAGAATCTTGTCTTCCAACAGTCAGGAGGAGAGCAAGAGCATCCTTGATTCTAAGGACAATTCTCCTTGCTCTTATGTACAAGTATCAGTCACCTGTGTCTCTGCCCATCTTAAAATCAAATGCATGTGTAGATATGCTAGACACAGCAGTCTTCTTACAGGTGTCTTCACACAGAATTATAGAGTGGTTTGGACTGGAAAGGACCTTGATCATTTAGTCCCACCCCCCCTGCCATGGCAGGGACAGCTTTGACTAGACCAGGTTGGTCAGACCTCCATCCAAACTTGCCTTGAGCACTTTCAGAGGTGAGGCATCCACAGGTTTCCTCGGCAACCTGTTCCAGTGTATCATCACCATCACTCTTCCATATATGGAACCTAAATCTCCCACTTTCAGTGTGTATCCATTTTTCCTTTCCCTGTCACTCCAGTTTCTGTCAGAGAATCCCTCTCCAGATTCCCTTTAGGCCCCTTCAGACACTGGAAGGTGTCTATGAGGTCCCACAAAACTTTCTCTTCTCCAGGCTGAACTGCCCCGACTTTTTCTGCCTGTTTTCATAGGAGATACGCTCCAGTCATCTTGCAAACCTCATGACCCTCCTCTGGACTTGCTGCAGCAGTTCTTTGTCCCTCTTATAATGGGCACCCCAGAGCTGGATGCAGTGCTCCAGGTGGGGTCTGAGCAGAGCAGAGCAGAGCAGCACAATCCCCTCCCTCAATCTGCTGGCCATGTTCCTTTGGATGCAGCCAGGATTCCCTTGGCTTTCTGGGATGGGAGCACTCACTGCTGGCTCGTGGTGAATTTTTCATCAGCCACACCCCCGAGTCCTTCCCCACAGGGCTGCTCTCAATCACTTCTCTGCCCAGCCTGTGGGTGTGTCTGGGATGGCCCCAGTGCAGGTGTAGGACCTGGCACTTGGCTTTGCTGAACTCCCTGAGGTTTGCATGGTCCCACCTCTCAAGCCTGGCCAGATCCGTTTAGATGGCATCCCTTCCCTCCAGCATGTCCACTGCATCATACACAGCTTGATGGTGAGGGTGCACTCAATCCACAAATCCTTCAGCCTTTCTCTACTTCCTACAAAAGATTCAGAAATGAGAGAAGATATCCTAATTCCTTCTTTTGTTTTGCAAAATGTATGCAAGTATACAGATTACAACAGAGAAAGTGATGTACTGGGACAAAACCCAAGGAACTGTTCATTCTCTCTGCTCTCCCTGGTGTTGTTAAGGAAGGCCAAAATTCTGTGTATTGGGTAATTGCTTTCTTTTCTAAAATGAGATATGTTTGTAATAGCGTAATTTAACAGCTGATTTAGGGCCAGATGCATGTGCTCTATTTGTTGCTTCTTGCTTGACTCTGGATTTTCTTATATATACAGAAAGCCAATTTTCTTATTATTGTTACTGACTCTTGGCTACAGTGATGTTTGTGCCAGAGCTTCCCTTGATTAATTATATGGTGTGCATAAAGTGCTTTATGCAGTCATCTGATGATTTTTAAAAACTTTTTAACATCTTTCCTGTTCTGAGAGGTTAAATAAGCTGATAGACAAAAATTACTTAGCTTTCCTTAATGATTATGCTCCCTTTACTCCATGGTAGCCCAGCAGACCTGCCAGTTCTCCCACAGATATATATCTTCTGATGCAATTAAATACATTTCTTCTATTTGCATGCATGTTCGCTTGTCTGCTCTTCATCTAATTTCTGCCTAGCTTCTTAAAAGTTGTGATTCATTGTCTTTTGACCAATGTCACTTGAGTGAGATTTCCAGGAAGAAAATGCATTTTTTAGATACAGAAACCTCTCAAAATGCTTTCCAGTGTCCTTTATTGTGTGTGTTCATCCTGTGATTCCATGCTGAGTCCAGAACTTCTGAGACTTAAAACTCGAGGGGATTTAAAAACAGTTTGTGTCACTAAATTTCCCGTGTGCTAGAGTTTGGTTTGACTGTTTTTGATATTGTTCTTACTTGGAGGACACCAAAGTTAATTAGGTATATATGGTCACTGCTATTCAGTGGCTTAAGTGTAGCTACCACTTTCATGGGAGAGAACTTAATGGAGCAAGCCCTTTAATAATCTTCTGGCATAAAAGGTTGTTTCTCCCCTCTTTCAGTCTGAAAGGTTAACCTTGCCAGGAGAGAAAAAAGCAAAACTTAGGGGAAAGCTTGCATTTTCTTTTAATCTTCTTTTTTCTCCTCTCCATTATAATTTTTGTGGGATTGCAGGATTTTTGCCGGTGAACAGTGATTCCCTTTATAAAAAAGAGCTCAAATCTTCATCTGCCCAGCTGACAGCATGGAGACTTAGAACAGAATATAAAAGACTTGCCGTGGGTGTGCCTCCTTCGTGAATTACAGACTCCTTCAGGCAACCCAACCTGTGCCTCAGAGCAGTAGCCCATTCCAGACTGCTCAGGCAAACAGTGCAACTCTGCTGCTGTTGACCATGAGGAAGAAAGTTGCACTGCTCAGGAAACACCTGTGTGTGACTGGGGTGATTAAGCAAAACCAGGCCAAATCTTTACTAATCTCTAATGTCCTCTAAATACTATTCTTCCTATAATTGTAATAAGCAGTGGTATGGTTATGTCCCCTGCCTCCAAATGCTGTTTTCCTGACTGTCTTTTTCCAGCTTGTGGTGAGCATTAATTTTACTGTAACCCAGTGTCAGGCTAAACCTGAGCAATTTAGAACTTGTTAAAATGTCGTAGGCTATGAGAAATGCTTGTCTTGTCTGGAACATACCTGCATGGAACTCCAGAGTCGTAGGAAAACTACTGTCTCAAATAATGTAGCTACTAGTAGCCCTGGGTATCAGATTTTATTCAGAGGGGTAGGAGTTTTTTTCCTAAATGGTAATGCATTTCTCTCCATCAGGAACAAGACTTTTTCCCCCATACTTGAGATGAGCTAAGCTGAGATGTGACTATCTGCCTAGGTAAAAGAAAGGGTTTGCAGGTTAAATACCTGTTGTCCTATGTAATGGTTACAGCTCAGGCCGTTTCAAAAGGTAGAGAAAGGAGCAGGGATGTTCCAGGGGAGGAATGCACTGTAATATTTCACATTGAAACAGATAGATGCAAAGCCTTTTCAGACTTCCTGATTTTGGTATTCTTCTTGAGGAAGTGGATTAATTTTAGTAATGAAAACTGCAAAGCATTACTCTAGAAGTACTGAATTGCTTTGGAGGCTTCAGCATTTGAGGACCATTGTTTTCAATTGAGCCAGAACACATTGTCCCCCCCAACCCAATAATGCTTTCCCAGATCAAGAAATTGAAAACGTTTCATTTCACACCTAACACACAGACACCCCTATTTACTTTCAAAAATTAAAATAATCTATAATTAATTAAAAAAAAAACAGTTTTGAAAAACAAAATCATGTCTACAAAGCATGCCAGAGTAAAATACTTCAGATATTTTTCAGGTTTCCTGCTAAAATATTCTGAACTGACACAAATTTGCAAAACATTTTTGAATTAGTAAGCCTGCAGTGGTTTTAGTCACTCTTGCTAAGAAAATAATCTCAGCCAAAAAAGAATGGAAGAAGTGCTGTCCTTTTCTGCATCCATAAACTTTCTGCTTCAATTGTGTGATACTAAGATTTGTGATCTGCCACGTGTTTAAGCTTAAATAGCTCCTGTAGTCTCACTGCAATCGTTCATCTCTAAGGTACCCCTCTTGTACCACTGTTAAATAGTCATGTACAAAATTAAAGATATTTTTCTGCCTTTTTGAAATCAGTTTTAAAGATTGAAGGTTAAAAACAGTCCGTAGCTTAAATTACTCCTTTGTGGTTTTAATTGCCTTCATTTCCCTGAACTTTAATGAGACTATTCTTTGTCTCTAACCTTTCTTCCTAACTTGGAAACTGGCAGGCAGCCTTTCAGCCACACCATGGAAGCTGTCACTTTTAAAAAGTTTGTTAGTTAGTTTCATCCTCCATAATACACATAGTTTCTACCGTGAAGAAAAAATTAGCCTTGGCTTACAGGTTTTGTATATTTTAAGAAATCATATCCTCCAGAAGAATAAACAGAACCTGTAAGTGTATGTATGTTTCCTCTGTGAGAATTCTTTTTTCCCTTCATGGAAACAGCTGTGTGACCAAAATATCGCAGGTTTTTATTATATTTCCTGACTTTACCTTGTGCTAAAATATGGCAACATTTCATATTCTCAAAAGAAAAGTGATGCTTTCCTGAGCCTCAGCTCTGTGTGTAACTGCACTGAATTTGTCTTATGCAGTAAAAGCTGATTTTGCAGAAAACCAGAAATTCTCTCTTTTTCTCATCCTTAAAGCAAAAGGAAATTATTTGTAAAAACAAATTCAGAAAAAAAAGTCAGCAAAAATAGGGCAGGAGCAAGGAAGTTCATTACAGTTCGTATACTGTAAGACATCCAACATTGTAAAAGCTTGTCCTCTATCAAAATGCAATTGAGTTCAAATTTTAAGGTTTTATTTCCCGCCTAATAACGTTTGTAATGTTTTCCACTTGATGCATCTTTGCCTTTCTTCTGGTTTCCATTAGTTCACTTTGAGCAATGCAGATCATTCTGTGAACAGGCTGATTCTTTCTTGTGGGAATTAAGTTATAGAGTATTGTTTCTTTGGTATTTGGATATCCATCTGAAATACTTGAGAGCTGAATACCACGTATGATGTTTTTTGTAAGAATTGCCAAAATACATATTCTTATTCCTTAGGAATATTTTGAGTCAAAATACTAGATATTTAGAAATTAGCATTCTGAATATTCAGTAGATAACATGTTTGCTGTGAAATTAATTAGCTTTAATAGAGTGAGTCATGCAAATGGGAACACCATTAATGTACCAGTTTAATGTTAGAGTAAACAAAGGACAGTGGTGGTATTTTTTAATAAATATATCAGATTTTAACACTCTTTCCTCACTTTCCCGTAGCCTTTTCCATGTGCTTATCCTGAACCTAGCTATTGTAGGAGCTGGAGTAGCAATGGCAAGATTTTATCCAAATATAGGCGGTATCATAAGGTGAGTGTTGCTTGCAGTGAACTTCCCTGTGGTGTTACTACATTTGTGTCTTAATGTTGAAAAGGAGCGCTAATGATTGTACCTTTATATTTTGTGAAGCTTATGACTTCTTAAGTTGTAAACAATGATTTGTGTGTAAACAATCAGCTTGCAAAGTTCTGACATCTGTTTTTGTGCCTGTGTGTCTGAGGTGGTTGAGTTTTACTGGAGTTGTATCTGAGGACCTTGTAACTCTACTCATAAAATAATATGGTGCCAGAAAAAAAGTTGTTTTGTTACGGGATTCTGCTCTCAAGCTTCTTTTTTATACTAAACCATTTGAACCTGGTTTGAAGGTCCATAATGAAAATCTGAGAAAGCAAGTAACTTTACAGTGAAAAGTGGCATCAAAGTTGTAAGTGATATCTTAAATTTACTATGTTGCTGAAAAGGTAGGATTTCTATAATTAGAAAATACTAGGAGAAATAATGAGTCTTATTTTACTATGTTTGACGTCAACATATTTGTATGCATTGTAATTTATTCTTGGTTTGCATCTTTCCTAAAGCAACCAGGAGAGGGAGGTGTTTAAAAACACAGAAATCTGCAATTATAAAACCAGAATGACAGGTTTGGGTCTGACCAAAGTAGCAAAATAACTTACTTTTGCTCGGTGGCTGATCTTTGAGGGTTTTCCCCATTTCCTCTTTTTCCAATACCTCTCCTTTTAGTAAAATTTTTTTGTATTCTAGTAATAGAGATGGTTAATCATCATCATAGACTCTTAGAATAATAGAATGGACCTTAAGGTTGGAAGGGACCTTGAAAATCATCTTCCAACCTCCTGCCATGGGCAAGGAACACCTTCCACTAGACTAGGTTGCTCAGAGCCCCATCCTACCCAGCTTTAAACATTTCCAGGGACAGGGTATTGACAACTTTCCTGGGCAACCTGTTCCAATGTCTCAGCACCCTGACAGGAAATAATTTCATCCTGATACCTAATTGTGCAGTACATGTCTCTGTTTGCAAACTGGTGTTTTATCTCTTCTAATGTGTCTATATTGTGCATAGTAGCCAAACATGTTGAACAGTGGATTTCCAGCAGATAAATTGTCTTTACACTGTCTAACTTATGTGTTTGCAAGTTAGACTGATCTTTCCTCAGAAAGGAATGTTCAAATATATGAAACAAAATATGCTGTTACTTAACTACATTTGGCTGCTTAGTAGGTGAAAATAATGAGAGCATTTTTGTGAGCAAGGGAGAGGTTAGAAAAAGAACAGTTAAATGTTTCCCATGCTGTGGTTGATCATGTTACCAGAAGGGCATGTTGTTCCTTTTAGGTCTGGAGAATGACTTGCTAGAAGGTCATTAAATAAATTAAAATAAGAGTTGCAGATTCAGGAATGTTTTTATATTTAAATGCTTTAGTATGTGTTTTCAGATGGCTGGGTTACAATGAGGTTTGTAGTTCTGACAGTAAAGGATGTGTAACAGAGGATGCACTGCCCAGTCTCTTTCTGTTGCATGTTGACAAATTTCCCCGAAGAAAGTAGAAACATGAAGTCTAAGTAAGGGATTTGGTCCCCAACAGCGTCACAGGGTGTGACTGAAAGGACAGAGCCACGTCAGACTGCAGGTACAAGCAAGCAGGGGGATGGACAACACAGAGTGTGGTAATTAAAAGCTAGTGAAAGAGGTAGAGGTCAGCAAGGAAGAGAAATTGATGTTTAACGATTGCAGATAGTCAGTATTCATCCAGATTGTTCATTGGTTTAGCAGGGTTAAATGACAACAAGAAATAAGAATAGATGCGAAGAATGCTTTCTTTCTTTCTTTCTTTTTTCTTCTCGTCTTCCCTCTCTCTCCTCAGATACTCAGGAGCAACGTGTGGTCTGGCCTTTGTATTCGTGTATCCATCACTCATCTACATGATCTCCCTGCACCGTGCTGGGCAGCTGACGTGGCCTGCATCGATCATTCACATCTTTATAATCCTCCTTGGACTGGCTAATCTGATTGCACAATTCCTGTTGTGAAAACTCCCCCTTTTCCCGTGGCTGTCACAAGTGGTACTGCAATATTTGGCAACAGCCTTGAGCAACACTGTGAGGCATGAGAGCCATTCTCAATCTGAGGATCTTGAGATGTTTTGAAACAAATTTGAAACACATCGTTCAAGTGCTATACAAGTATCATGTCTTGCTTCTCTGAAAACACAATTTTTTGAGAAGTTAAATGATTCATATGTGAGTGATACAGTTCTCCTGGTTTTGTTGAAGATACATCAAAAATTAATGAAGCTCAAATATTTTAATTTTTTACAGCAAATTTCTCCAAACAAAGCTTCCAGCCTCACGCTGTGGAAGACTTTCCTCCAAATGAGCTGTCCTTACCTTGATTAGCAGACATGCTTTCTCAGTATTGTTCAGTGACTCTTTGAAATGCTCTATGGTTGCAGTTATTTTCCTGATTTGTTTGGAAAATGAAGGATTTATTGTCTTTCCTCTTTTTTTTAGCTAAATTTATAGTCACTTGGGTCAAAATGCACTCCTAATTTTGAATACGCTATTAAATTGTTTTGGCAATATTTTTCCTCTAGGAAATTCCAACAAAGAGAAACAATAAACTCATGTTTCAGTGTTTTATTCAGAACCAATATGTACACAAGTTATTTGTGATCTTACAATACAAAAAAGCCAGGAGGATAAAAAAAATAGAACAAGACAATTAAAATTAGTATTCCAGGCTTGACCTCAATTCAACTCTGTTATGGGCTATTTTGTGCTGTGAAGTTGTCTTGTCAGGAGTTGCATGTAGTTTTTATGGATGCGTGGTGTACACAGATTTTGTTCATCACAGGCCTACCACTGTACAGTCTTCCTCTGGTGGTCTCTCACTTCCCCAGTATGTTACTCTAGACATTCTGGATGTGAGCAGAGAGACAAAGCCAGCCATCTTCAGAATCGTGGATGAATTTAAGTTTTAAATAAGAATTAAGTTTTAAATAATTTTTAACAGAAGCTGGAAGAATCTGGGAAGATTTTGTTGTGGGGTTGGTTTTGTTTATACCTTCTTGTTTACGAATTAAGAGGGTGTATGTGCCTAAGCATATATACACCTTCCTTCATCTATCTGCTGAAACTCTGTGTCTTAACCCAAAATATGCAGTAATTAAATCTCCAGACTCTAGTGGAATATAATTTTTGTGGCTGGAGAGAGAGTAGAAGCTCCTCGTTGTGCAGAATTTCAGTGCATTAAAATAATTAACAAATGTAGAATAATTGAAAGAGAACTCTGAGCTAAATTCCAAAGTAAGTAAAAGAGGAAAAAAGTTGGAGTGGTGCAATGTTTGTGAAGTAGAAGTTGGGAAAGATAATTACGTTGCAGGGTAATGGTTCATATTTTCATCAGAAAGACTGTGAAAAACATAACCTAGGTTATTACCATGCTCCTCGGGGAAATTATGTGTATTTTTTTAGTAATGTTGCAAATCCATTTGTTTTACTTAGGTTTCTCAAACTGTGTAAAGGACACTCACTTTCTTAAATATCCTTTGATTTGTATGAAATACAAGATTATATGGGTTTGGAATACTATCTGCAGAATACAATGATTATTTCTGATTGTTCTTTTCTTGTGAAACTTTCTGTGCCTTTAAATCAGAATTGGGGAATACATCCATCATCTGTTCTGTATTAGAGAAAACTGTCTGCTCCATCCTGGTCATTTTCTCCTGTGTAGACTCTTACAAGAAAAGTACTTGAAAACAAAGGGACAAAAGATACAGATTTCCTAGCATTGTTGGCTTATTCACATTAAGCTCTTGTGCTTATTTTTTATAGGCTCAGTGCTTAATTTAAGTACAAACCCTGAGGAGTGCAGGTAATTATATTTGATTATATCCTTCCATGTTCCATTTGTATATGATTCCGTTATTTATATCCTTGTCATTGAAGCTGATATTAAAATACCCATTGATTTTAGCAGAGTTAAATTCTGTTAGGATCTAGTAATCAACAGAAGTTCCTAAGAAAGACAGAATTCTTGGTGAAATGTCCTAATTGCATCTTGTATGTGTCTCTTTTTTCAGTTGTGCATCGTACAATGACTGAGTTAAAATTTAGAAGGAAATTATTTAGAACATTTATAAAATACTGTTTTAGCTCTGTGTTACTGAGATAGATTCTTGCTGTCTATTTATTTATACAAGCTTTTAAAAACTTTTATTTGAATTACAAACTAGTAAGCATTAGAGTGATAGCAAATATTTCATTACACTGTCATCTCCTGAAGCACACCTTCTTATAAGAAATTTTATTTTTTAATTTTACTAGTTGAGATTTTCACAAGCATAAGAAGCAAGTCAGGAGTGTGTAAGTAGATTGGCATTTTCAGGGTTTCTCCTTTTTCAACATCCTAAGTTAAATAATATTTTAAAATTTAAGTTGCTTTTAGGGCAACTAAAATGCCCTAAAAGACCAGAGGTAGATTGCATTGTCTTCTTTTGTGCAAGTACAAAATGTATCTCTTTACAAACACACACTTCATCTGCAGTGATGGCCAGCTAATTTCATTTCCTTAGATTCTGTGTTCTAGGATATCATCATGTGGTTTAGCAAAGCAAAGAAAGTAATATATTGACCCAGTGGTGTATTGTGAAATGTCAATTATTACCTTCTCACAGAAGAAAAATAATTTCTGCTGGAAATACTGAATTCTGTCTTTACACTTGAACTTTGTTGAAGTAAGCTGTGAGGTGAAACACTTTCAGCTCTGGGCATTGACTAAGAAACTAAGGTTTTCTTTCTGACGGTACCAGACTCCTTGTTTGGCACTATCTCTAACTCACTTTGCTCTGACAATCCAGCCCTCCATATTATGTGATAACTCAGTGATGCAAACTGAAATTTTTGTTGCATGAGGTTTGAGCAGCTGCAGTCAATCCTCTGTGCTGATACCATCATGCTAAAATCCAGATCTCAGGATACATTAGGTGTTAACCCAGCATGACCTTCAGACATTGCCAAAGCATAAGTAGCCAGGGGAATTCCCAGGAAGCTCCAAGAGCAGTTGTGGACATGCCTGTGTGGTGAATTTGTGGACCTAACTTCTGTAAGTTATTACACGTTTTGAGCGCTGATGCCAAGGGATTAGTTTTTCAGTGGGAGCATAGCAATGAACAGAATTAGTTGTATTTTTTAAAGACAAGGAAAGATGATGTGGCTTATAAGTCTGTCTTCTCTTACAACACGAGAAAGACCTTCCCTGCATGCTTGTACTATTCTCATTGCCTACTCTGTAATGGCCTAGCATAATTTTGTGATGTTATTGTGGCCCAGATTCTTCCTTTTGGCTTCTAGTGGTCTTCATAATTTCTTCTGTGCTTACTGGCTCTCAGTTTTCCTTTGTTCTTCCAGTCTCTCAAAGCTGCATCTGTTCCTACAAATAATTTTTTCCTATTCTGTCTGGATTGGCACTGTAATGCTATTGTATTATGTCATGCAGCTCAAAGGACCTGTGCAGCAAATATGAGCATTTGGGGTTCAAACGTTGCATCATGTAAACTGAGGGTGTTCGGGAGGATATTTTATGTAACATTGCCTGTTTTCTTAGGGGTTCAGCCTTTCCAAGGCCTTGTGCAAAAATGTGTGAAGATAATGGCATTTGGTTGCAACACTTTGTCATATTGATAGCTTGTCTGCCCAACCTCTAGGCTGCTCCCTTCTCCATCAGGCTTCTGCACAAGGGTTGTTTTCTGTTTACATGTTCATGGAACCTTTTTTTCCATAGCGAGTCAGTTTGAGAGTCCAAAGGTTGCCAGAGCAGTTGATTCCCCATTATTGCTCTAACCTGGCATCTCCCAACTCTGAGTTGCTGGACTTTGTGCAAGTGTTAATGAACATGCAAGAGCATGTAGTCAGCCCTAAGGCTGATTAAACTCTTTTGTAGAGTTTACTAAACAAAGTTTATATCCACCTATCCATGGATGTCTGGAAAGCTGAGAGACAGCAACAGTATAACAGATGAGTGAGTTACATCACAGTTGGAGCTGTGATAGGAAAGAGGAGAGACTTCCTGGAATACTGAGACAGTCAAAGCTAGGATATACAGTCTGCACTATGGGAAGTCCTAGAGATTCCTGTGTACAGGAGCCAGACTGATGCTGCAGTCTCTAGGTCCTGCAATGAAATGGTAGTGAGAGAGATGGTAGCCTCTGGAAACCGTGTTTTTGCCTTACAGGATGTTATGCTTCAGAGGACAACTGCACTAAACATCTGTCACCTTTATAAACCGATACGAAGATACCTGCCTGAGGAAAAATTAATAACAGGAAAAGGATTAGTGCTTGGCAATAACCGGTACTGTTACCAGCAAAAACAGCATCTCTCTTTCCTTCTCTTTCCTTCAGCTGGAAGCAAAAATTAATTCCTGTGGACAGGTCACAAAATTTGAGAGCTGTCTTTAGTAAAAAATATGCTATTTTAGTAGAGTTTTCAATAACTTCTTAAGAGGAAGTAAAATAGTAATGATAGACAAAGCACTGATGTGTTTGGTTTAGCTCATTGTAATGTGCTTAATGGGGAAGTACAATGTAAGCTCTTCCTCTGAGTTGGTATTCTACGAGATTGGAACCATGATCAGTGTATTCAGTTCCTTTGCACTTGAGAACACCATTAAACTTCTCTTGGAAAGGAGCAGGACTCAACTTGCCAGATCATTGCTACCTCTGCCTCCTGTAATTTCAGATGGTGGAACCAGTGCCACGTAACTGTTGCTCTGTGCTTTGTATTTCCAAATATCAGATGATCCAAGAGGGGCAGGAAGGGTCTCTTTCTCTTTTTTACCAATTTACCTAATTATGGCTTTTCTTATATATCTGCTTTTTGTAATCCTGGAATAGATTAAACAGTCCAGAGGAAAAATGCAGCTTTTTTTTGGTCACATCTTAGTGTGTTTGTACTGCAGCTTGGCTAAAGCTCATTGAATTATTTCCAATAGCCCAAAATCTGTTTAAAAACTGCTGTCCATGTGTTTCTTTTCATCATTGTTTGAATGGCCTTTTCTTCCAATTCTGTGAACGTTGTTAACTTCTGACATTTCATTAAACTGTTAGAGGAAGTTGAGATTAGTCAGGTCAATTCAAATCAACACAGCAAAGTCATTCAGCTGCAATAGGAGTGGAGGAGAAATGCCTACACATTTGAGTACCAGGCAAGATACCAGATGACACACCAAAGAGAGACATTGTTCCCACTGCCCATTTGGCTTCTTCTCTTAGGGCAGAAGAAGATTTATTTACAAAATTCCACAGGGTATACAAATTACAGGCCCATCGTGGGAAGAGAGAGAAGACTGTTTGCTGTTTTTTATTTATTTATCTCTTCAGTGAATACTTTTTTTTTTTTTTTTTTTTTTTTTTTTTTTATTTTAGTTATAAGACCCCAAGTTAGCCTAAGCAAACTCTTATACATTCCTTCACCTTCCAGCGTAAGAGTTCAAGGGATCTGGCTGGTGCAGAGTGGCAGAGACAGTGAAGATGATTTCCAGGAACACTTTGTGCTGGCTTTGTGTTTGGAATTTGGAAGAGCTCATGGTTGCTCTGCATTTCTTTTCCTATAGAGGTGTAACACTCTTCACTAAGGGAAGGCTGAATCTCACCTACC